TCATATCATCATGGCAAATAACTGACCAGATGCATGGTGTTTAGAACTATCATCATATCACCATGGCAAATCACTGACCAGATGCATGGTGTTTAGAACTATCATCATATCACCATGGCAAATCACTGACTAGCTATAGATGTGTGGTGTTTAGAACCATCATCATATCATCTTGGCAAATCACTGACCAGATGTATGGTGTTTAGAACCATCATCATATCATCATGGCAAATTACTGACCAGATGCATGGTGTTTAGAACTATCATCATATCACCATGGCAAATCACTGACCAGATGCATGGTGTTTAGAACTATCATCATATCACCATGGCAAATCACTGACTAGCTATAGATGTGTGGTGTTTAGAACCATCATCATATCATCATGGCAAATCACTGACTAGATGCATGGTGTTTAGAACCATCATCATATCATCATCATGGCAAATCACCGACCAGATGCATGGTGTTTAGAACTATCATCATATCATCATGGCAAATCACTGACTAGCTATAGATGTGTGGTGTTTAGAACCATCATCATATCATCTTGGCAAATCACTGACCAGATGTATGGTGTTTAGAACTATCATCATATCATCATGGCAAATAACTGACCAGATGCATGGTGTTTAGAACCATCATCATATCATCATGGCAAATCACTGACCAGATGCATGGTGTTTAGAACTATCATCATATCACCATGGCAAATCACTGACTAGCTATAGATGTGTGGTGTTTAGAACCATCATCATATCATCATGGCAAATCACCGACCAGATGCATGGTGTTTAGAACTATCATCATATCACCATGGCAAATCACTGACTAGCTATAGATGTGTGGTGTTTAGAACCATCATCATATCATCTTGGCAAATAACTGACCAGATGCATGGTGTTTAGAACCATCATCATATCATCATGGCAAATCACTGACCAGATGTATGGTGTTTAGAACCATCATCATATCATCATGGCAAATAACTGACCAGATGCATGGTGTTTAGAACCATCATCATATCATCATGGCAAATAACTGACCAGATGCATGGTGTTTTAGAACCATCATCATATCATCATGGCAAATAACTGACCAGATGCATGGTGTTTAGAACCATCATCATATCATCATGGCAAATCACTGACTAGATGTATGGTGTTTAGAACCATCATCATATCATCATGGCAAATAACTGACCAGATGCATGGTGTTTAGAACCATCATCATATCATCATGGCAAATAACTGACCAGATGCATGGTGTTTAGAACCATCATCATATCATCATGGCAAATAACTGACCAGATGTATGGTGTTTAGAACCATCATCATATCATCATGGCAAATAACTGACCAGATGTATGGTGTTTAGAACCATCATCATATCATCATGGCAAATCACTGACTAGATGTATGGTGTTTAGAACTATCATCATATCATCATGGCAAATCACTGACCAGATGCATGGTGTTTAGAACTATCATCATATCACCATGGCAAATAACTGACCAGATGCATGGTGTTTAGAACCATCATCATATCATCTTGGCAAATAACTGACCAGATGCATGGTGTTTAGAACTATCATCATATCACCATGGCAAATCACTGACTAGCTATAGATGTGTGGTGTTTAGAACCATCATCATATCATCATGGCAAATCACTGACCAGATGCATGGTGTTTAGAACTATCATCATATCACCATGGCAAATCACTGACCAGATGCATGGTGTTTAGAACAATCATATCATCTTGACTGACTAGATGTATGGTGTTTAGAACCATCATCATATCATCTTGGCAAATAACTGACCAGATGCATGGTGTTTAGAACTATCATCATATCATCATGGCAAATCACCGACCAGATGCATGGTGTTTAGAACCATCATCATATCATCATGGCAAATAACTGACCAGATGCATGGTGTTTAGAACTATCATCATATCATCTTGGCAAATTTAGATGTATGGTGTTTAGAACCATCATCATATCATCTTGGCAAATAACTCCAGATGCATGGTGTTTAGAACTATCATCATATCATCATGGCAAATCACTGACCAGATGCATGGTGTTTAGAACCATCATCATATCATCATGGCAAATAACTGACCAGATGCATGGTGTTTAGAACTATCATCATATCATCTTGGCAAATAACTGTGCATGGTGTTTAGAACCATCATCATCATCATCATCACCATGGCAAATCACTGACCAGATGCATGGTGTTTTAGAACTATCATCATATCACCATGGCAAATCACTGACTAGCTATAGATGTGTGGTGTTTAGAACCATCATCATATCATCTTGGCAAATCACTGACCAGATGTATGGTGTTTAGAACCATCATCATATCATCATGGCAAATAACTGACCAGATGCATGGTGTTTAGAACTATCATCATATCACCATGGCAAATCACTGACCAGATGCATGGTGTTTAGAACCATCATCATATCATCATGGCAAATCACTGACTAGCTATAGATGTGTGGTGTTTAGAACCATCATCATATCATCTTGGCAAATCACTGACTAGATGCATGGTGTTTAGAACCATCATCATATCATCATGGCAAATCACCGACCAGATGCATGGTGTTTAGAACCATCATCATATCATCATGGCAAATCACTGACTAGATGCATGGTGTTTAGAACCATCATCATATCATCATGGCAAATCACCGACCAGATGCATGGTGTTTAGAACCATCATCATATCATCATAACTGACCAGATGCATGGTGTTTAGAACTATCATCATATCACCATGGCAAATCACTGACCAGATGCATGGTGTTTAGAACTATCATCATATCACCATGGCAAATCACTGACTAGCTATAGATGTGTGGTGTTTAGAACCATCATCATATCATCTTGGCAAATCACTGACCAGATGTATGGTGTTTAGAACCATCATCATATCATCATGGCAAATTACTGACCAGATGCATGGTGTTTAGAACTATCATCATATCACCATGGCAAATCACTGACCAGATGCATGGTGTTTAGAACTATCATCATATCACCATGGCAAATCACTGACTAGCTATAGATGTGTGGTGTTTAGAACCATCATCATATCATCATGGCAAATCACTGACTAGATGCATGGTGTTTAGAACCATCATCATATCATCATGGCAAATCACCGACCAGATGCATGGTGTTTAGAACTATCATCATATCATCATGGCAAATCACTGACTAGCTATAGATGTGTGGTGTTTAGAACCATCATCATATCATCTTGGCAAATCACTGACCAGATGTATGGTGTTTAGAACTATCATCATATCATCATGGCAAATAACTGACCAGATGCATGGTGTTTAGAACCATCATCATATCATCATGGCAAATCACTGACCAGATGCATGGTGTTTAGAACTATCATCATATCACCATGGCAAATCACTGACTAGCTATAGATGTGTGGTGTTTAGAACCATCATCATATCATCATGGCAAATCAATCATAGACCAGATGCATGGTGTTTAGAACTATCATCATATCACCATGGCAAATCACTGACTAGCTATAGATGTGTGGTGTTTAGAACCATCATCATATCATCTTGGCAAATAACTGACCAGATGCATGGTGTTTAGAACCATCATCATATCATCATGGCAAATCACTGACCAGATGTATGGTGTTTAGAACCATCATCATATCATCATGGCAAATAACTGACCAGATGCATGGTGTTTAGAACCATCATCATATCATCATGGCAAATAACTGACCAGATGCATGGTGTTTAGAACCATCATCATATCATCATGGCAAATAACTGACCAGATGCATGGTGTTTAGAACCATCATCATATCATCATGGCAAATCACTGACTAGATGCATGGTGTTTAGAACCATCATCATATCATCATGGCAAATAACTGACCAGATGCATGGTGTTTAGAACCATCATCATATCATCATGGCAAATAACTGACCAGATGCATGGTGTTTAGAACCATCATCATATCATCATGGCAAATAACTGACCAGATGTATGGTGTTTAGAACCATCATCATATCATCATGGCAAATAACTGACCAGATGTATGGTGTTTAGAACCATCATCATATCATCATGGCAAATCACTGACTAGATGTATGGTGTTTAGAACTATCATCATATCATCATGGCAAATCACTGACCAGATGCATGGTGTTTAGAACTATCATCATATCACCATGGCAAATAACACCAGATGCATGGTGTTTAGAACCATCATCATATCATCTTGGCAAATAACTGACCAGATGCATGGTGTTTAGAACTATCATCATATCATCATGGCAAATCACTGACTAGCTATAGATGTGTGGTGTTTAGAACCATCATCATATCATCATGGCAAATCACTGACCAGATGCATGGTGTTTAGAACTATCATCATATCACCATGGCAAATCACTGACCAGATGCATGGTGTTTAGAACCATCATCATATCATCATGGCAAATCACTGACCAGATGTATGGTGTTTAGAACCATCATCATATCATCATGGCAAATAACTGACCAGATGTATGGTGTTTAGAACCATCATCATATCATCATGGCAAATCACTGACCAGATGCCATCATCATATCACCATGGCAAATGACCAGATGCATGGTGTTTAGAACCATCATCATATCATCATGGCAAATCACTGACCAGATGCATGGTGTTTAGAACCATCATCATATCATCATGGCAAATCACCGACCAGATGTATGGTGTTTAGAACCATCATCATATCATCATGGCAAATTACTGACCAGATGTATGGTATTTAGAAGCATCATCATTAGAACTCGAGGTTTGATCATGCAGAATAGTTCAGCATGCACAATTTAGAACTCAAGGTATGATCAGGTAATTGGACAAACAGTTGTCAGAATAGTTCAGCATTAATCTTGTGGGATTTCTGTCTAGAAAGTCTACTTGTAAAAGCCTATCAATATGTTTCAGGATATTTCCTTGGATTTGATCAAGTTGACCTTCTCGAGCTGACAAAGTTTGCGATTTCCCCAACATCTCCTGACTTTCATGAGTCTGGCTGTATTCGTCGGAACTATACCTTTCACCTCTACTGATGCTGAAGGAAGTGGAGATACAAAACCTGAAGAAGCCAGTATTGACTGCAGCTGCCTGCCATGGCATGACAACACAGACCTACTGCACTGGGGTATTAGCCAGTGTGGATAAAGGAAGGGTCTATTTTGTACAGTACGTGCTCTTGTTTTGTTGCACCTGTGAAATGTCAAAATGTGGGCGTGTGATGAATATGCAACAAACAAACTAAATTATTTACAAATAATGTAATTGACACAAACACCATCTCACACGCGTATGCACACACAAATTCCAAATACTTGGTTAAATTTAACAATTTTCCATTTCTGTAGTATTAGCAGTGAAAACAATGTTACATTGTTGAGATCAATGTCATATATAGAGAGATTATTACACGAGAAAGTGTCATGCGACTTATACAAAATGAGTGTGAAATTTTGTACATAATTTTGCGTAAGTTTCGTATAAGTCATATGACACACTTGCTCGAGTGTAATAATTTATTATTATCCATTTTATTCATGAACATTTGTGCAGTAAAACACGGTAAGCAAGTGTGACGGTCCTGTTCATTGACGTCACGTTTAATTGTTCAATGACGTCACAGACGATGAAATACAGAAACAATGGTTGCTAGGCAAAAGTCATATGTGCACATGTGATATATGTGACACTGGTTATGTTTCAATGTATGGATAATAACAGCCATTATTTGGTACTTGGTCCCAAAGCTAGCATAATTACATTGACAGTACATGCTCAAAGCAGTTTAATGAAGTCACTTTAGGCTAAACGTTTCATACATGTTTTGTGTCAAACATCTGCTTGTATGGAAGTGTGTTTTTATGGATGTCAACTTCTTTATTATGAGGAACACAGCGTTTCAGAGTATATCCATACTCCTTCGTCGGGTGAATAAGGCTTGTACCACTATTCCTTTGTTGTTGTCTAGTTCTTGTGAGCTGCAGAACCTTGTAGTTTTTATAGCATTTATAAATTCCTATGGAGTGAGAGTGTATTCTTAGATATGTCTGTAGTGACAAGTTTGCACTATGTGATGCTACTTTCATGAAACTATTTCTCAAACATGCACCCATACTCTAATATCAACACCAAATCTGAAGCGCTGATCAAAATAATGAACTTCAGGTTTCTGTGAAGACCAAATCAACACCAAACCACAATACATGATAATCTGTTTGGTTCTCTGGAAATGTCAAATTCTTCAGAGAAAATGTAGAAATGATTTTGAACAATTGTATTCTTTCTTTCTTGAAACCGTGAAGGTCCGGGTTAGAAAATTGATCTTCAGTAACCCATGCTTGTTATAAGAGGCGACTAACAGGATCTGGTGGTCAGACTTGCTGACTTGGTTGACATATGATATCGTATCCCAATTATGTAGATCGATGCTCATGCTGTTGATCACTGGATTGTCTGGTCCAGACTGGATTATTCACAGACTACCGCCATATAGCTGGAATATTGCCGAGTGCAGCTATACTAACTCTCCCACTCACTTTCTTGAACTGAAATCTTTTGTATTTTTATATTCCTTTCAAGTAAAACGATTTCACACACTTCCCATAAGGTTGAAATTGTGTCTGGATTTGAACTCAAATGAACATTGTTTGGATATTTTTACACAAATAGTTTTGAAGGACTTAGAGTCGGTGGATCTGTGATCCAACAAATAAAAAATCATCCTAAATGTTTGTGTTAGGCCAACACTGATTTGTAAATAGTTTGCATTTCATTTGAGGTAATCTTGAAAGTTGACCACCTTGACTTGAAGTCCCATGTTATTGTTATTGTATTTATTATTTTTTGTAACAACTTTTTCTATTATTTTAAATATGTGATATGTTAAGTTTTTAGTATAACACACTGCCTTTGAATACAGTATTCAGCTGTTTTAGATTATACATACAGAATGCAATAAGTTTAAGTACCCGGTGAGCAAACGATTTAAGCTGCTTTTAAAGTTACATACTTGGGTGATTGCCAGTGCCTGATTGTAGAGATTTTGTAAAAACATCACACATTTGTTAAATGTTTATATAAAAAATATTTACATATATGTTCATGTTATCCCATATTTTGTCATAAAATGGACATTGCTGAACAAATCAGAGAGATATTTGTACAATGAATCAATAAATATGCAAATGAAGTCATACAACTGGCTCTATTTTCAATCTCGAGCTACTAATAAGCTGAATAAGACAATCACTATATTATTATAACAAATGTGCCAGATATTCTGAGCCTTGGTTATTATTTACCCAAACAAAGCTGCAGGGGAGGGGGGGGTTATTAAATGACCATTGTAATTATCGTGAAATCAAACTGTTCACCATAAGAATCACGAATTCATACAGTTAAACGCTGTATATCATCTACGTCAAGGCAAACATGGAAACAGAGCACAAAGTCCAGACAATCGTAAAAACAGCACTACGTCCAGACTAACATGGAAACAGAGCACTACGTCCAGGCAAACATGGAAACAGAGCACTACGTCCAGGCAAACATGAAAACAGAGCACTACGTGCAGACAAACATGGAAACAGAGCACTACGTCCAGACTCACATGGAAACAGAGCACTACGTCCAGACAAACATGGAAACAGAGCACTACGTCCAGACAAACATGGAAACAGAGCACTACGTCCAGACAAACATGGAAACAAAGCACTACGTCCAGACAAACATGGAAACAGAGCACTACGTCCAGGCATATATGGATCAGAGCACTACGTCCAGGCAAACATGAAAACAGAGCACTACGTCCAGGCATACATGGAACAGAGCACTGCGTCCAGGCAAACATGAAAACAGAGCACTACGTCCAGGCATACATGGAACAGAGCACTACGTCCAGGCAAACATGGAAACAGAGCACTACGTCCAGACTAACATGGAAACAGAGCACTACGTCTAGACAAACATGAAAACAGAGCACTACGTCCAGGCATACATGGAACAGAGCACTGCGTCCAGGCAAACATGAAAACAGAGCACTACGTCCAGGCATACATGGAACAGAGCACTACGTCCAGGCAAACATGGAAACAGAGCACTACGTACAGACTTACATGGAAACAGAGCACTACGTCCAGGCAAACATGGAAACATAGCACTACGTCCAGGCATACGTGGATCAGAGCACTATGTCCAGGCAAACATGAAAACAGAGCACTACGTCCAGGCATACATGGAACAGAGCACTGCGTCCAGGCAAACATGAAAACAGAGCACTACGTCCAGGCATACATGGAACAGAGCACTCGTCCAGAAACAGAGCACATGGAACAGAGCACTACGTCCAGGCAAACATGGAAACAGAGCACTACGTCCAGACTAACATGGAAACAGAGCACTACGTCCAGACAAACATGGAAACAGAAACAGAGCACTACGTCCAGGCAAACATGAAACAGAGCACTACGTCCAGGCAAACATGGAAACAGAGCACTACGTCCAGGCAAACATGAAAACAGAGCACTACGTCCAGGCATACATGGAAACAGAGAGCACTACGTCCAGGCAAACATGGAAAAGCAGAGCACTACGAGCACTCCAGGCATACATGGAACAGAGCACTACGTCCAGGCAAACATGGAACAGAGCACTACGTCCAGACAAACATGTCCAGACAAACAGAGGAAACAGAGTACTTCGTCCAGACAAACATGGAAACAGAGCACTACATCCAGGCATACATGGAACAGAGAACTACGTCCAGACTAACATGGAACAGAGCACTACGTCCAGGCATACATGGAACAGAGCACTACGTCCACGGAACAGAGCCTAGGCATACATGGAACAGAGCACTACGTCCAGGCATACATGGAACAGGCACTACATGGAAACAGAGCACTACATCCAGACAAACATGGAAACAGAGCACTACTTCCAGACAAACATGGAAACAGAGCACTAAGTGCAGACAAACATGGAAACAGAGCACTAAGTGCGAGACAAACACGTGCAGACAAACATGGAAACAGAGCACTATGTACAGGCAAACATGGAAACAGAGCACCACGTGCAGACAAACATGGAAACAGCACTACGTGCAGACAAACATGGAAACAGAGCACTACTTCCAGACAACATGGAAACATGGAGACAAACATGGAAATAGAGCACTACGTGCAGACAAACATGGAAACTACGAGGCAAACATGGAAACAGAGCACCACGTGCAGACAAACATGGAAACAGCACTACGTGCAGACAAACATGGAAACAGAGCACTATGTGCAGACAAACATGGAAACAGAGCACTACGTACAGACAAACATGGAAACAGAGCACTACGTGCAGACAAACATGGAAACAGAGCACTAAGTGCAGACAAACATGGAAACAGAGCACTACGTCCAGACAAACATGGAAACAGAGCACTACGTACAGACTAACATGGAAACAGAGCACTACGTGCAGGCAAACATGGAAACAGAGCACTACGTCCAGACAAACATGGAAACAGAGCACTACGTGCAGACAAACATGGAAACAGAGCACTACATCCAGACAAACATGGAAACAGAGCACTACGTGCAGACAAACATGGACAGAACATAGACAAACAGGAGAGCACTACGTACAGACAAACATACAAACAGAGCACTACGTGCAGACAAACATGGAAACAGAGCACTACGTACAGGCAAACATGGAAACAGATCACCACGTGCAGACAAACATGGAAACAGAGCACTAAGTGCAGACAAACATGGAAACAGAGCACCATGTGCAGACAAACATGGAAACAGAGCACTACGTGCAGACAAACATGGAAACAGAGCACTAAGTGCAGACAAACTTGGAAACAGAGCACTAAGTGCAGACAAACATGGATACGGAGCCAATCTGCATTATTATGATTTAAATCGACACGAGAGTGTTTCAGATTTTACGGGTAACAGTCTTCTATAATGACTTTGATCACAATGAGCGTGAGTGGTCAGCAGGAAGCAGCAGGCATGATATGTGGCAATGGTGTGATGGAACTCAAACAATAAGACTTGAGTCAGACTTAACCCACCCATGCACTAACGTAAGGGTTACGTTGAATTCACAAATAACGAAAGAAATTCGTATGTAAAATATGTAGGAAATAAAGATACATTCATTCATTCATCCCTCATAGGTTATCATGGAGAATGGGTTTGACCTGAAGAAAGTATTTTGGTAACTACGACTGGTAAAGATATCAGCTGATACGGTTAACTATAATGTGTTGATTACCATTACACTGTCTTTAGTGTGCCAGAGGTGGGCTACCCGTGAAGATCAGGGTTAGAATTGGTTTTCAGCAACCCTCACTTGTCGTTAGAGGCGACTAACGGGATCGGGTGGTCAGGCCCGCTGACTTGGTTGACACATGTCATCGTATCCATACTCAATTATTTACAGACTGCCGAATTTTACCTGTAATATTGAGGAAAAATAAAATTGTTTAGTGTGGCGTTAAGCAACAAATCAACAAACAAAACAAAAAACAGAAGTTGGTAAACATGGCTACAGTGCCTCTCATTGAAATGTGAGTATTGTATTTTGTGAAGTGAAAGGCAATGACCCATGCCTCCATAAGTAACTGATATTGTTGATATTGTAGTGTCCCGGAACTGTCCCGTTATCCTACAGGTAAAGAGGACCGCCTCCGTGGTGTAGTGGGTAGAGCGTCCGCCCGGAGAGCGGAAGGTCGCGGGTTCGATCCGTGGTGTAGTGAGTAGAGCGTCCGCCCGGAGAGCGGATGGTCGCGGGTTCGATCCCCGGCCGCGTCATACCGACTATAACAAGGTCTCAGACAAGGTTGTATGATGAATCTTTTTCTATCCACAGTGATTACATGAAATTGGAATACGAACAGATGCACCATGTGTTCGGGGTGTTCAGCTATATATATCACACGGGTATTGATGTTGCTATCTGCAGATTATATCGTCCTTTCTGCTGACATGTTCTATAGGATGTTCTTCCAGATAAGACTAACAATACACTTTTACATTTACCCGACCGCGTCATACCAAAAGACGTTAAAATATGGTACTTGTTGGTCCCTGCTTGGTGCTCGGCATTAATGGGTACAACAAGGACTGGTCGGCTCGGAGTCAGTATAATGTGTCTGAGTGGGGTATTCATGCTTCACTGCGGCATGGTATTTCAGTGGGCTAGCACTATAAAACCAGCTTCAGTCTGGGCTAGTGCAAGCAGCCACACCTACACATACATACGCATGCACGTCGTCATATGAGCGAAATATTCTCCAGCACGACGTTAAACCCAATTTCACCTCACCTCACAGGAAAGAGAAGACACTTATTCCGACTTGTCGTAAGAGGCGACTAACGGGATGGTGTAGTCAGGCTCGCTAACTTGGTTGACACATGTCATCGTATCGAAATTACGTAGATCGATGCTCATGCTGTTGATCACTGGATTGTCTGGTCCGGGGTCGATTATTTACAGACCGCCGCCATATAGCGGGAATATCGCTGAGTGCGGCGTAAAACTAAACTCACACACTTATTCCGACATTGTGTGAGGTGAAGACAATCTCCGGAATCACGTAACGGGGGATGTTTACAGCTGTGACATGTATAACACAGGCCGCTTCACCATCCGTGGGGGAGACCATTGTCTGGGTCAGGGGGAGGGATAGCACACGCATACACAGGAAGAGTCCTAAGTGGAGGCTCATACAAGTGCACTGACCCACATAAGAGACGGCAAAAGTAAAGTCATTGTGTAATTTATAGACAACGACGTGGTTTCCATGTTTTTTCTCCTTTAAATGCAAATCCATGTTGGCATTTAGTCACTGCTTATATTAGTGTCGGTATTTGGACATAAGTATAGTAAGTAGCATTGTCACCATTAGACTAGTAGCATAAATATTAGCACTAGTGATGGACATTGGTATAGCAGTATTACTGTTGGTAGGGAAATATTAACACTAGTGATGGACATTGGTATAGCAGTATTACTGTTGATAGGGAAATATTAGCACTAGTGATGGACATTGGTATAGCAGTATTACTGTTGGTAGGGCACTAACATTGGTATAGCAGTATTACTGTTGGTATATTAGCACTAGTGATGGACATTGGTATAGCAGTATTACTGTTGGTAGGGAAATATTAGCACTAGTGATGGACATTGGTATAGCAGTATTACTGTTGGTAGGAACTGTTGGTAGGATGGAATTGGTATTTAGCACTGTTGTGATGAAACATTAGCACATTGGTATATAGCAGTATTACTGTTGGTAGGGAAACATTAGCACTAGTGATGGACATTGGTATAGCAGTATTACTGTTGGTAGGGAAATATTAGCACTAGTGATGGACATTGGTATAGCAGTATTACTGTTGGTAGGGAAACATTAGCACTAGTGATGGACATTGGTATAGCAGTATTACTGTTGGTAGGGAAACATATTAGCACTAGTGATGGACATTGGTATAGCAGTATTACTGTTGGTAGGGAAATATTAGCACTAGTGATGGACATTGGTATAGCAGTATTACTGTTGGTAGGGAAATATTAGCAATATTAAAGTGAGTGAGTTTAGTTTTACGCCCCTTTTTGCAATATTCCAGCAATAACACGGCGGGGACACCAGAAATGGGCTTCACACAATGTTCACATGTGGGGAATCGAACCTGTGCCTAGATTTTCGAAGCCGTCTGGAAACTGGTAAGATATTGTTAATGTATGGCGGGGCGGTGGGGTAGCCTAATGGTTAAAGCTACGGCTCGTCACGCCGAAGATCCGGGTTCGAATCCCCACATGGGTACAATGTGTGAAGCCCATTTCTGGTGTCCCCCGCCGTGATGTTGCTGGAATATTGCTTAAAGCGGCGTAAAACCAAACTCAGTCAGTCAGTCAGTCAGTCAGTTAATGTATGGCACTTACGACATTCTTAGCTCCAAGAGAGCTTCGAACATCTAGGCCCTGGTCTTCAGCATGACGAGCGAAGCTTTAACTACTATGCTACCCCACCGCACCTCTTTAAGGAAATTGACGAAGAATCTGTTACTCAATGTATTTAAAGCATGTGACCATTGACACTTCCTTTCACATCAGGTGGTAATATGTGGTACAATGTTAAAGGAGTACAGGGCCCGTTTAGGAGATATGCCTATTCGGTTAAAGAGAATTCAGGGTGCAGAAGGTACTGGGTGCCAGGGGAGCCGGGATCGTTACCCGGATTCTCCACCAATTGTTACTTATCGACATATAGGACATATGGCAGAGTCTTCATCTAAGCAGAGTCATTATTTGCAGACACTGGTAGGCGTCGTAACCGGAGACCTGTGACAAAAGTTCCCCGAGTCCACTCCAATCGTTCTCTCTTCTCCTTGAGTACAAGTGCCAGGACACAGTTTTATATTTGTGTTTACAGAAACATAATGTATATGACTAGACTGGCCTTGACTTGACATTTATACTAAGTCTTATCTCATCTAAAACGGAAAGCTCGCTGACTTGGTTGACACATGTCATCGGTTCCCAATTGCGCAGATCGATGCTCATGCTGTTGATCACTGGATCGTCTGGTCCAGACTCGATTATTTACAGACCGCCGCCATATAGCTTGAATATTTCTGAGTGCGGGACAAAACTCAACTCACTCACTCACTAAAACGGAGAGGGAATTTTCTTGGGACATCAATCCGTTATAGGTAATGACAAATGACGGACGTCACAGTAAGGACTGGTCAAGCTGTGACCCTGAATTCTATAATAATACATTTATTCTGTGACTTGTGCTAGAAGATATGGATTTGATTTCAGGATTAAAGTTTAACTCTAAATGTTTATAAGTCGGTATCCACGTTCTGATGACGTCAACGAGGAAGTTGCTGAATACTTTATGTCAGACATCGTGCTATGAATATTGCTTCTGCAGCTGTTTATGTAACTGCAAATCGGGTCTGGAAACTTTGGACCGATGCAGATTTGGGGAACGAATACTCTACCTCCTACGATAAGAGAATTTACCATATTGTCCAGATTGTAGAATGTAAACGTCCTCAAAATGTATAGTTTACATACAGCTTTCTGTTTTCAGCACTTATTGAGAAAATATAAGGTTGCAATGAGTTTTTTCTCTTATGTGAGACAGACATCAGCTAAAGTACCTTGAACATGTCACCAGGAGTGAGAGTGAGTGAATTTAGTTTTACGCCGCTTTTAGCAATATTCCTGCAATATCACAACGGGGGATACCAGAAGTGGGCTTAACACATTGTACCTATGTGGGGAATCGAACCCGGGTCTTCAGCGTTATGAGCGAACGCCTTAACAGCTATGTCACCAGGAACATAGAGAGGAAACTTTTGTGGAATTAAACCAACATGACTGGTCAATTTCTATTTATAATAATACTATCGTGTTTTGAGATATCAGGAAGCAGTGTTTTAAACACTCAGTCTCGTAGCATGTAACAGTTATGTTTTACCCTTTACGCTAAGATTTTAGTGAGTTCCAGCATCACTTTTATTTAATAATATTTAATAATCATGTTGCTGCGAGTAGTTGCAAAACTGCTGATGCGTAGTTCAGCAATATTCACTCCCACTAAAGCATGTACAATTGCTGATCAACAAAAAAGCAAAAACGTAAAAAATTGATTCAACAGATTTGTCTTATTGTCTTATTACCCCTCTCATATTCATCATATTTAGTTATTTATTAGTTATCCATGTATGAAATTATAAACTATATTGTAAGAATTAAAACAGATTCGAACAATATATAATTTACAAGTTCTACCTTTAACGATCCCATCCCAGTTTTATTTAACCTTCCTGGTTGTGAGGTCTAAGACGAAGTGGGCGTGGTCTAACCACGTCACGTGTTTCCCCGTGTGACAATATATACATTTGACGCCAGAACAGCGGAATACCCTCCTTCGTCTTGAAACTGGTGACAGTTCTGTGAAATATACAAAAACCGGAGTGGACATGGCTGACGAAAAGTAAGTATCCCTACTCCGTTATAGATGCACGCATAAATGAATATAATGACCATAATTATTACGGGTAAAGGTGTTCGTCAATGTACCTGTTGATCTCCAGGACAGGGTGAGGTACGTTCCACTGTCATTCTGCGCAGGAGTGTCAAGTTCTATCATTGAATACAGGTCACGCTGGCCTATGTAGGTCAGACAAAATATGTCTGGGGATAAATGTCAGGTTCTGCATTGTCCCCGCGGGCTCGGCTCCAATGATTTATACGATGATAAAATCAACCGACATGCTTTGATTGGTCGAACTGAAAAAATGGGTTTTTGTGAGTGAGTTCTGTTTTACGCCGGAAATCGAACACGGATTTTCAGCGTGACAAGCGAACGCGTTAACCACTTGGCTAACCCACCGCCCCCATAGGTTATTGTGAAGATACTTGACTTTGCATATTTTCTTTTAAAGATTAGCAAATATTAGAAGTAATATGTATATTATTTGTTTCACCCATGGACACAATATATAAACTTATACATCAAATCTTTATTGTATGACTCAACCTTCATGGGATTTAAAAAATAAACCCATGAAATTAATAAAGGCAAAAGATTCAAATAGTTATGATAATCTATAACAGTTTTTGTGCTACGGCATTCGTTCACCTCGGACACCGCCAGCTGTAGATTAAGGATGGACACACGTGAAGATCCGGGTTAGAACTGGTCTTCACCACCCCATGCTTGTCGTGGTAACGGTATCGGGTGGTTAGGCTCGCTGACTTGGTTGACACGTGGCATCATATCCCAATTGCATAGATTGATGTTCATGCTGTTGATCACTGGATTGTCTGGTCCAGACTGGATTATTTACAGAACGCTGCCATATAGCTGGAATATCGCTGAGTTCGGCGTCAAACTAAACTCACTCACTCACTCATTAAGGACGGACTATATGATATTGTACTGAATTCAAAATGGTAAAGCATTATACCTTAGAAAAAGGAAAAAAGTGTCTCCCAAACCAAAATATGATTAAGAAGATTATTGGGTTATTTTTTTTATTTATTAATTTTTTTCAAAAATTTAACTGGATTTGCTTAAGCACCAGCTTTTTTATGTAGAATCCCTACAAAATGCCTGGACACACCTGCGGAAATGATGTGTCCGTCTGAGCCCCCAGACTTGATTTAGGTATCACAAGGTTGTGTTTAAAACTGACGGCATTATCCCAGTGGGAGGTTAGACCAGGGGCGCGTTGTTTAGCCGATACGCTGTGCAGCGCTGCGCTTCTATTGGCTGAACAACGCCTCGCTGCATGCATCGCAGCGCTTCGGCTAGTCTGTCTCACAGTCCCTGAACCAGATTAATTTCCCTACTGCCAAGCCCTCTCCGCAGTGCTAAAGCCCTAAATAAAGCAAGTCTAGATTTCCTCAGGTCTGAATCTCTGGTCTCCCTGGGGCTCCTTTTCAATATAAATGGGCTTGTTTGTTACTATCAAAATTATATATATTCAGAGACTAAGCCTTAGTCTACGCTTCGGCGTGCAGCGACTGAGAGAGGTGCTTCCTGCGTAAGCGAGCGACATTCAAAATGGCGTCACGGCATGTCATTCTGCAAGGTAACAGAGAAAACTTGTCTGCTCTTCTGTGACCAATAGGGACAAGTTTTTAATGTTGCGCATACAATTCAAAATCATTGCATGGAATATCTTCTGCAGCTTCGTGTGCCAAAAGTGTGGTTAGTATCGGTGATGTGTTTATATTGGACGACGCCATATTGAATGAAGCGCTCACACAGCAGTCCGTTGCACGGGAAAGCAGGCAGCGTAGCGCAGCGAAGCTTGCAAACTTTTGCTGAACAACGCGCCCAAGGGTTTTCTGTGTATGATGCACCTACTTCAACTACTGCATGATAATAGTCAGGTCACAGGTGCATTTTTCACGCGGGTTAGTGGGGTAGGCTAGTGATTAAAGTGTTCGCTCGTGTTGGTTTTCCCCCACATGAACAAGCCCATGTCTAGTGTTCCCCTCTGCTATTTACTGTTGATAAAGCTGTGCCACACCTAATTAACTCACTCTGCGTGCCCTCCGTCATAGCTTGTACTTGCACTCGGTGCTTGGTAGTCTCGGAGTCATCATAGTCTCCCATAACTTTGTACAGATGTGAGTGAGTGAGTTCAGTTTTACGCCACACTCCAGCTATTCCAGCTATATGGCGGCGGTCTGTAAATAATCGAGTCTGGACCAGACAATCCAGTGATCAACAGCATTAGCATCGATCTGCGCAATTGGGTGAGTGAGTTGAGGTTTACGCCGCACTCAGCACTATTCCAGCTATATGGCAGCACGGTCTGTAAATAATCGAGTCTGGACCAGACAATCCAGTGATCAACAGCATGAGCATCGATCTGCGCAACGGGGAACCGATGACATGTGTCAACCCAGTCAGCGAGCCTGACCACCCGGTCCCGTTAGTCGCCTCTTACGACAAGCATGGTTTACTGAAGATGGCCTTCCAAAATCGCCTGATCTGAACCCGGTCGAGCATCTGCGGGACGAACTTGCCGACGCGTAGCAGGAGGAATGGCGAAGAATACCCCAAGCAAAAATCCGACGTCTTGACCTGAACGCCCCCTTGTGTCCACGTGTGTGCAGTGAGTGAACTGAATTAATGCTGACAATGACAACATACATATGTTCATCCGTGTGTCGAATTTCCGTCATCTATGTTCAAGCCCAAACCTCTTATGGACACTTAAATACGTTTAATGCACTTCTCTAGTTTCTTTTTTAAAGAGTCTATTTGTTAAAAGGTGAGGATCCACTATTTTTCCCTTCGTGATGAAAGAATCAGTAAAAAATGTCCTGCCTGATTGTATTGATTTTTCCATCACAAGGTGTCTGCATTTCAAATAATCAGCTCGTATGGATGATCTTTCAAATAGTTTCCATTTAATCACTGGTTTTACAAAGATAACTGAAATAATTTACACACTTATATATACAGTGAAATATTATATAAATCGTTAGCATTAAATGAGAGGATATAAAATAAGGGCATTCGAAGTACTTTTGAAACCATCGGTACTTTAAGTGTGTTCTTTTCAATGTTTGGCTGAATTTCTCATTTGGCAACACTTGAAGGGATGGAGTAAATCCAGCTGGGGTACATGAAGGTAGCAAAGGTACTGTAAGTCCCCATGACTACCTGCATCGGCTGGCGATCTATAGCCTGTTTTAAAATTTATTGTTCTGTTATTTTTATATCTTATAGTAACAGGCTGGTTTAATTCGCATTCTGTAATACTGTAGTTGTTTTAACTGTCCACTGACGACAGGTTGTGAAAGTCTGAATAGATTCCTCATTACTGTACATATAAGTACTACTCGTCACGATATGGCTGAAATATTGCTCTCTCTCTCATGTCAAGGTCATCCTCAAGGTCATGGCCTGAACACGATTATGTTGATATCGTATCTGGAGATCTCTGTAGTATAAGTAACTGAAAACAATGACATTAAGAAGCTCGCTCGCGAAGTCGAGTTCATAAGCTTCATTTGCAGGTTTCACTAAACTGCTATTTGTTTCTGCAGATTTTAAGTTTGTAACATGTTTATAGTTTTCATTTTCATAATGACAACAACTGGTCACAGTTACCTATTTTCAATGAGCATCATATGCGTCAAGTTCGTACTTCGACTGACACCGAAACATTATGATGGTCAAGTTTAAGTTCAAGGTCATACGTGTCACGGTCGCTGGAACGATCATTCGTAAGGTAGTTCTACCATTGAACACTATGAACCAAATCGCCCTTTGTTTTTGCATGAAAAGTTTGAAGGACTTAGACCACCCATTATTGCAACAAGAACTAATAATGCCTATGATTCGCTAAACATTTGGGCTCAGCGTAACCGAAAGTGCTTGTACTTTTCCCATTAGGAAAGCTAGAGAAATGGTTTATTTAAACCACACCTGGCATGGATTTCTTTTAAGAGAAGTGATGTAATCAAACAAGTCGAAAATTGAAGTACCTTTAAAGTTGATAACATGTTTCTAAAAAGAGAAGCACGTGACATTCGTACTTATTTACAATCATGATATTCTTTTATATATTTTCCAAACCAGAAGTGATGTCATTAGACTGAGGTGCGTGATGTAATTAGACCTGGTGTGAGATCATTAGACTGAAAGTGGTGTCATTAGAGCTGATCTAGTATCGTTAGACCGGATGTGGTGTCATTAGACCGGAAGTGTTCTCATGATAGCCAAGAGTGTCAAGGAACTGAAAGTGATCTTTTGGATTGGCGGTGTTCTCATAATTTAAAGTAGTGGCAATAGAATACAGAAGGCATGTATTTCCTCTAAACTAGGGTTATGGTATCAAACTGGAAAACTTTATGGCATGAAATTGTATTTGTAACGGCAAGTTTCTTAGCGGTTGACAGTTTGATACATGGGAGTTAGCTCCCTTGTGTACGGATGCTTGAAGCGAGCGGAAAATATGAGTGCGATGTGGTTTGCGAATTTCCAAGTCATGGTGTACTCTGATACAGCATAATGTTGCACGTACTTTATAGTCAGTAGCACTAACAGAGCCAGCACGAACATTGAAGTCTGTGTCGTTATGATTGCGAGACTGTTTGCCCGTGACGGGATTGAATTTTGGACTGCGAATGCGATGATATGTGCAAATGCGAAATACAAATTGACTGGAATCTGACCTCTCCTGTTGTTCTTCGATCTTGGAAACATTACAGTATTTGTGACCTGAAAATAGTGGCTTCTGTTACCAGCACTAGTTAGCTATTTAAGACAGACAGCTTCAAGTATGTTCTCCATGCTCATATTTACGACTATCTTCTACCATACTGATTCATGTGACTTTTGATGTGTTTGATTTTAAACATTTGTGCGCGCTTTGAGCATGCCCCTTTGTGGTATGTATTGCGCAGTACCTTCATTATCATGTTTTAAAGATTAAAGATGAAAATGCAGCAGAGAGGGTTCGGGTGATCCTGGCACAGTCAGGCTGGTAAGGCTCATCACAGCTCAGGGCCCTCGCCCCCACTACACGCAGCCCAGACAGCGAATGGGACTTCTCCCAGGAAACGCTGCCTAGTCGAACCCACCAAGAACTTTCCGGAGAATATGAAGGCTCTCCACCATTGCAGCCTTCTGCATTACCCAGAGTGTCAGAAGGGTTGTGCTCCCGGTTGAGAACCCGGGCACTGTCCTGATCTACGCAAAGAGATCAGGAGGTACCAAACCAAGGGCACCGAGAACAATTGGGAGCCTGACGACAGTGTACTTGGGATACAAGCGAGACATTTCAAAGGCGAGGTCCGCATACTTAGTATGCTTTTCCCGAATCTTGCCAATCACATTGGTGTCAAAAGGGACAGAAAATTCAGTGATATAAAAAATCCATTGGCTTTATAAAAAACGGACAAGATCAAGTTTGTTGGCAGGAATTCTCATGAGAGACCTACCCAATGACGACATGTGTTGCGAGAGAGCTACCCCTTTCCACACCCTGCGTTTTACATTTGTGTGACGAGTCACCTTTTTACGACCCAGAGATGTACATGTATGAAGGTGGAACCACCGTACTCGAACCTCTGATGAATGCCCGCGTGACGAAAGAGTCACCTGGTCATGTGCTCTAGTCACCTGTGTACGAGCGCCGTCACGTGGGACTACCCTCTCATGATTACATGAACACAGACACAGAGATAAATAGAACATGGGGTCTGGGTCGGTTTTATGATAATTTTGAGAATATTCTTTAGAAAGATAAGTGGATTCTTTAAACTAGAAAATATATTATTCAACAAGGAAAAAGAGGATTTGAATTAAACCAGGAGACAGTTTGTCTGACTAACCGGTAATATGTTCCGGCAAATAGGAAGTTTCTGTTGTTTTTGAATATTGCTTTCCACTTTAGTAGGAAGCTAATATAAGCAAACGTCCACCAAAGTAATATAAACTTAGACATATTTAATCACGATCCATTCATAGCATATCCGTGACTTCAGTGATGCTGTGGTGTTGTCCATCCGTGACTTCAGTGATGCTGTGGTGTTGTCCATCCGTGACTTCAGTGATGTTGTGGTGTTGTCCATCCGTGACTTCAGTGATGTTGTGGTGTTGTCCATCCGTGACTTCAGAGCCCCGGGTCCCGATCCACAAAACGTTCGTAATGCTACGACATTCGTAAGCCTATGATAAACTATAGAGTTACGACAGGTCGTAAGGTTACGAACGCTTTGTTGATCGGGACCCAGGTCACAAATCAGTTGAAGTTAAGCAACGTTGGGTGCGCGGAGTATTTGGGTAGGTGGCCGTATTTGAAAGCTTGACTCCTGAGAGTTTCTAGGACTCCAGTCCTGTCCCACAACGAAGCACATGTGATACATGTGGTCTCTCCTTAGGCAAATGAGTTTGTTCAAAATTGCCTCTGTCCACCCAGCAGAAAATGTACCCGGTGGGAGAAGTCATGTGACTATAATCTTCTAGCGCCAAACAGGCAGCTTGGGTTGTCCGGAGTAATACATGTAATGTGTTACTAATGCGCTTTAGCATACCTTCATCGCGTGGAGACAGCGCAATATATATCTCATTATTAATTTCATAGTATTATTTGTTGGGACTGCGATAAACATTGTTGTGAAACATATCTTGATAGCTTTACAAGGAACATTCCATCAATACAGAATATTAATTAAATCAAAACTTATAGCAGCATACTAAAGGACCAACTCAGATTTTCACCCGACTTGGAACTTCTAACAAGTCCCTAAAACATGGTCTGGAGCATTTAAAACTTAAGTGTTCTAGTCTTGAACCTGGATCAAGTAACCGGCCTCTTGGAACCAGAATGAAGGTCTTACCCGGAATCCCAAACCATACACACTAGCGGACTGTCTGGCAGAGCCATATAAAAGATTAAACGTTCACTGGAATATTAATTATATACTATATATATTTAAAAAGTTATGCATGCTCCTGCCAGTTTCCATGTTACATTAATACGTACTTGCATCGTTTTGCACAGGTATAGTTAAAACCTTTATTGACCTCCATCAATATTCCAGCAACATCACGGCATCACATACTGTACCTAAGAGGGAAATCGAACCCGAACATCCGCGGACGCTTTAACCACTAGGCTACCCCACCGCCCCTTAGAATTCAGACATGAAGCTGACATTGTCATTAATAGAATAATGTTTTCACTCGTACCCAAACTCTGTAGAGAATAGAATGCGAGTAACCTGATGCCCAGTTTGTGCTACCATCACCACAGTCTTACATTTACAAATTCAAAGATTTCTTTACCAAACGTGATCCTGGTACACTGTGTTTGTCCGACTGAGAATGTACCTAAGTCTGATTTCATTCAAAGCACTTTTCCTGCTCCGTGTTTTAACTGTATCATGTTTGCTAGTTTTATCTGATGGTTTAACTCTCTGATAGTCGCCAGTAGCTAGCGGCATGGTGTAAGCAGAAGTCCCATGGTCCCTAGTGTGATGATAAATGTGGTTGCTGTCTATCTGTTTCCCATGTTTATAGTGTATTGTTATAAATACTCATATTCTTTATCATAGTCTTTATCATAGTCTTTATCATATTCTTTATCATAGTCTTTATCATATTCTTTATCATAGTCTTTATCATAGTCTTTATCATAGTCTTTATCATATTCTTTATCATAGTCTTTATCTGATATTAAATGCGGTAGCATCCGTATTTTAGTCTATTAACATGATGAGGCATAAAAATCGCTTACGCGCAATTGTACAATTTTTGCTCCAGTTATTTATCGACAACCTTGACCTCAGAACCATACACAACGTATGGGCTTAATTTGGAGTCATATATATTAGACAATTGCTGCAACAAGTCCCCCTTTTTAACCTGAACAGGTGCGTAATTTAGTTGCTAAACATCTACTTGACCATAACAATGATTGAGAAAAAATACAGGAACATATTCATTATTTAACTGCAAATTTAAAAGGTGAGTTGAGGTGAAATTGCGTTTAACGTCGTGCTTGAGAATATTTCGCTCATATGACGACGTGCATGCGTGTGTATGTGTATGTGCGGCTGCTTGTACTAGCCCAGGCTTAAGCTGGTTTTACAGTGCTAGCCCACTGAGATGCCATGCCGCAGTGAAGCAGGAATACCCCACTCAGACACATTATACTGACTCCGAGCCGACCAGTCCTTGTTGTACCCATTAATGCTGAGCGCCAGACAGGGACCAACAAGTACCATATTTTAACGTCTTTTGGTATGACGCGGTCGGGCAAATGTAAAAGTGTATTGTTAGTCTTATCTGGAAGAACATCCTATAGAACATGTCAGCAAAAAGGACGATATAATCTGCAGATAGCAGCATCAATACCCGTGTGATATATATAGCTGGACACCCCGAACACATGGTGCATCTGTTCGTAATCCAATTCCATGTAATCACTGTGGATAGAACAAGATTCATCATACAACCTTGTCTGAGACCTTGTTATAGTCGAAACACCCAGAGAAAAAAATATTTTAAAGCCTTAAATATCCCTCCGTACAACTATAAACAGACTGATCATAGAACGCCATTCTTGAAACAACTCTATAGTATATTAACTAGACCAAGATTTAAATCTGTCAAAGAAATCAAATGTATTTATGACAGTCTATAAAAAGTACACAGGACGTAACCCGTTTTTAGACGGTTAATGTTTAAAAGCAGTTTGAAGAAGTAAGATACAACCTATTTTATCTTACCTCACACATAAATGTCGTTTTCTGATTGGATGAGTTAATCAATGTACCCCGCTTACAAGCGAGTAACATTTTCTATGTTACCCACTGGAAATGCCGAACTGTGGGAATTCGTTAGGTACTTCGTGTATGTAGTGTGTGGGCTGTTGCCTCACTCTGGTATTCCTTGTTATCATCCAATACCCGTGCTTGAAACAGTTCAAAATTAACATTGAGGTGTTCGGTAAGATAACTGCGTTGTTCACTGGTCCCTCATAAACAAACATCGAGGGTACATCAACCCATGCCCCCGTCGTGACCAGTGAACAACTTATAATGTTATATCCCTTCTGGAATCTCCTGACAAGTCCTTACCCCAAACGCCAACTTCGCATTAAGAGTAGATGTACTGATATTGGGGCTGCGCAGTAAGTTACCATGTACTCATGTGTCGGTGCCGTCTCGTTGCAGGCTGATCAGAGCAGTAGATGAAATATCAATAGACGATTCTGATGGCCGTGGTTCTACTACGGAATGGACAAGGTCGCCCATCATATTTAAAGCTCTGGATGAAACTGATGATGATGTAGTAAGTGACACGGAGACAGTAGACGGTGCTCGACAGAAGATGGGTCTGTTCGGAGCCTTACTGGCCACACGGAGGGACAAACATGGCGACTACTGCCACAGACTCCAGGAAGTGGAAGAAAAAAAGTGGACCAAACTCCGGTAGGGGTTATGTAGTTCTACATTTCCAGAAACTACACACAGACAGAAGACAGAAATCGAAAGCAACACAATGTATATATTTGTGATGAATAGGACAGAGTGACACGATGTCGATATGTAAAAACGTCTGTGTACCAATTCATCTTGATAAATAACTATTCTTCTGGTACTCACTAAGAAATATATAGACAAAACCATTGTCACGACAGAAACACACAATCATTTCTCTAACCTTCAATACTTAATAAACATTACAAACATAATGTCCCTACCCGGAAGTTATGGTAAATGAAAAGACCCATTTATTGGTCAAAATGTAGTGTTAACGTTATTGCAGTAATAAGGACGATTAAACTGACATCTTGCGACGATAAGGATGATTAAACTGACTTCATGCGACAATAATGATGATAAAACTGACTTCATGCGACAATAAGGATGATTAAATTGACTTCATACGACAATAAGGGTGATTAAACTGACTTCATACGACAATAAGGACGATTAAACTGACATCTTGCGACGATAATGATGATTAAACTGACTTCTTGCGACAATAAGGATGATTAAACTGACTTCATGCGACAATAAGGATGATTAAACTGACTTCATACGACAATAAGGATGATTAAACTGACTTCATACGACAATAAGGATGATTAAACTGACATCTTGCGACGATAAGGATGATTAAGCTGACATCTTGCGACGATAATGATGATAAAACTGACTTCATGCGACAATAAGGATGATTAAACTGACTTCATACGACAATAAGGATGATTAAACTGACTTCATACGACAATAAGGATGATTAAACTGACTTCATACGACAATAAGGATGATTAAACTGACTTCATACGACAATAAGGATGATTAAACTGACTTCATGTGACAATAAGGATGATTAAACTGACTTCATGTGACAGTAAGGATGATTAAACTGACTTCATGTGACAGTAAGGATGATTAAACTGAGTTCATACAACAATAAAGAAAAGTATGACTAAACTGGCTTCATTTGAAGCGTTAAGAGCAGTTTGACAGACAACACCCGCTGAGCATTTCTTACACCAATTCAGTTGATCTATGAGATAGAACAATGCAGTTCTTAGACTACGAGTCGCGTTTGTGTAGGCTATGAGACCGACCGAGAGAACAAATGGGCGGGCAAACGCAACATGTAATACAGAAGAAACTGCAAAACCGGAGATTAGAACACAGTGACAACCAACTCTGTGAAGGAATTCATGAAGTTCTGGGTCACATATTTGTGTGTGACGACGCAACATTTCTTGTGTGGTAACCCAGTGGTTAAAGCTTTCGTTGTCACACCAAAGACCCGGGTTCGATTCCCCATATGAAATCAATGTGTGAAGCCTATTTCTTTATTCATTTATTGACTGTTGTCTTGACTGTTGAGACCAATGCACTGAATCATAGTCTCATTCTGCGGAGCATAATTAATTACCTTTGCAGGGCCGAGGATGAACTGAGATATATCAACCAGATCGATGTGTCTTCATGGGACCACTACGAGGTGTTGGAGTCTATTCGCCATCTCCGGGGGAAAATCACATTTGTAAGTGCTCCATAATGTCTTAGGTGACTACTATCATTCACACCGTCAGTCAAACTGTCACTTACACCATCACTTACACTGTCAGTCAAACCGTCACTTACACCGTCAGTCACACCGTCAGTTACACCGTCAGTCACACCGTCACTTACACCATCACTTACACCGTCAGTTACACCATCACTTACACCGTCACATACACCGTCAGTCACACTGTCAATCACACCGTCAGTCACACCATCAGTCACACCGTCAGTCACACAATCAGTCACACCATCAGTCACACCATCAGTTACACCATCAGTCACACCGTCACTTACACCATCACTTACACTGTCAGTTACACCATCAGTCACACCGTCAGTCACACTGTCACTTACACCATTACTTACACTGTCAGTTACACCATCAGTCACACCATCAGTCACTTATACCATCAGTCACACCGTCAGTCACACCATCAGTCACACTGTCACTTACACCATCAGTCACACCTTCACTTACAACATTAGTCACACCATCACTTACACCATCAGTTACACCGTCAGTCACACCGTCAGTCACACCATCAGTTACACCGTCACTTACACCATCACTTACACCATCAGTCACACCATCAGTCACCCCGCCACTTACACCATCAGTCACACCGTCAATCACACAATCAGTTACACCATCAGTCACACCGTCAGTCACACCGTTACTTACACTGTCAAGTACACTGTCAGTCACACCGCCACTTACACCGTCACTTACACTGTCAGTCACACCGTCACTTACACTGTCAAGTACACTGTCACTTACACCGTCACTTACACTGTCAAGTACACTGTCAGTCACACCGTCACTTACACTGTCAAGTACACTGTCACTTACACGGTCACTTACACTGTCAAGTACACTGTCAGTCACACCGCCACTTACACTGTCAAGTACACTGTCAGTCACACCGCCACTTACACTGTCAAGTACACTGTCACTTACACCGTCACTTACACTGTCAGTCACACCGCCACTTACACTGTCAAGTACACTGTCAGTCACACCGTCACTTACACTGTCAGTCACACCGTCACTTACACTGTCAAGTACACTGTCAGTTACACTGTCAAGTACACCGTCAGTTACACTGTCACTCACACCGTCACTTACACCGTCATTGACACCATCAGTTACACCATCACTCACACCGTTATCACACCGTCACTTACACCGATGCTGTAGTCATACTGCGGGGATAATATTGGGATAGCGTTCTGTTGTCATGCATACAGGATACTTAAATCATGCCGCTGGGATACTGTAGGATGCTACACTCTTCAAGAAAAGAAACGCATAGGTGACTTTGAGATTATTGGACTCCTTTAACTGCAGCAAAACCAATACAAATATACCATTTGTTTACAAAACATCATCTATGTGCGATTGTAAACAGCTTAAGCGCCAAAACGCGGCAATGTTAACTTTTCCCCTTGTTTTAGAAGGGTTTGAAGAAATATTCACCAAAACGTCACCAAGAAAACATGCAAAGCAAAATGAACGAGCAAGTGTGCTGAAAGGCATGCGGTATCGTTCACTATAAAAGGGCAAACGTTGTGTTTAATTTTTGTCATTCGTTTTGCCTGGAAAAGAGGATATCATCATGCTACGACTGAGTGCCGCCAACCGAAACTTCGCCTTGAAGCTGGGGAGTCGCAGTCTGCAGTTGCCCGACATATCTGCACCTTACGTGCTTCCGATTATGTACTGACAGGCGGAGTTTGTTCCTACCTTGCCAATTCTAAAGTCAATGTCTTCCCGATCACCAGATATAAACCCGCGAGAACACCTAGGGAATGAACTCGATCGACGTGTACGTCAACGTCAAAACACGCCTCAGACACTTCCACAACTGACTATCGCATTGCAGGAAGTGTGGAAAAGGGTTTCCTCAAGAGGGACTTCGTCGACATATTCAGTCTGTGCCCAGACGGTGCCGAACAGTAATTGCTGCCAATGGTGGCCATACCAAGTACTGACTTTGACGCCATCTTGTGGAAACACAACAATAAAGGCTGCTGTTGTGTTCGCGAACTCTTTGACTATAGACAAATTTTCACCTTTTAACATTGAAATTACATGAAATAATTGCTCTTAAACTAGTGCAATAAGTTCTTCTAAAAATGGCTTATGCGGTTCCTTTTATATATATTTTTTTTATTTAAAGAGTGTACATATTTCCATTCATTTTGTAGACATTCTTCCGGGAGCACGACGTCTTTGAGAAAAGTCACATGATGCGGACCGAGAACAGTTTTGTTGAGATAACCTTCATCATTGCAAACATGGGCTCGGATGGGAAGGGGACATCAATAGGTAATGGAGACTGGTTTAATGACTGTCGGTGGTGGAAGTTCATGAATGGTATGATTCCTGTCAGTGGTGGGAGTTCATGAATGGTATGATTATTGTCGGTGGTGGAAGTTCATGAATGGTATGATTATTGTCGGTGGTGGGAGTTCATGAATGGTATGGTGGGAGTTCAGTTCATGAATGGTATGATTATTGTCGGTGGTGGGAGTTCATGAATGGTATGATTACTGTCGGTGGTGGAAGTTCATGAATGGTATGATTATTGTCGGTGGTGGGAGTTCATGAATGGTATGATTACTGTCAGTGGTGGGAGTTCATGAATGGTATGATTACTGTCAGTGGTGGGAGTTCATGAATGGTATGATTATTGTCAGTGGTGGAAGTTCATGAATGGTATGATTATTGTCGGTGGTGGGAGTTCATGAATGGTATGATTATTGTCGGTGGTGGGAGTTCATGAATGGTATGATTACTGTCGGTGGTGGGAGTTCATGAATGGTATGATTATTGTCGGTGGTGGGAGTTCATGAATGGTATGATTACTGTCAGTGGTGGGAGTTCATGAATGGTATGATTACTGTCGGTGGTGGAAGTTCATGAATGGTATGATTATTGTCAGTGGTGGAAGTTCATGAATGGTATGATTACTGTCGGTGGTGGGAGTTCATGAATGGTATGATTATTGTCAGTGGTGGAAGTTCATGAATGGTATGATTACCAGTGGTGGTAAGTTCATGAATGGTATGATTACTGTCGGTGGTTGGAGTTCATGAATGGTATGATTACTGTCGGTGGTGGAAGTTCATGAATGGTATGATTATTGTCAGTGGTGGAAGTTCATGAATGGTATGATTATTGTCAGTGGTGGAAGTTCATGAATGGTATGATTACTGTCAGTGGTGGGAGTTCATGAATGGTATGATTATTGTCGGTGGTTGGAGTTCATGAATGGTATGATTATTGTCAGTGGTGGGAGTTCATGAATGGTATGATTACTGTCGGTGGTGGAAGTTCATGAATGGTATGATTATTGTCGGTGGTGGAAGTTCATGAATGGTATGATTATTGTCGGTGGTGGAAGTTCATGAATGGTATGATTATTGTCGGTGGTGGGAGTTCATGAATGTTATGATTACTGTCGGTGGTGGAAGTTCATGAATGGTATGATTATTGTCGGTGGTGGGAGTTCATGAATGGTATGATTATTGTCGGTGGTTGGAGTTCATGAATGGTATGATTATTGTCAGTGGTGGGAGTTCATGAATGGTATGATTACTGTCGGTGGTGGAAGTTCATGAATGGTATGATTATTGTCAGTGGTGGGAGTTCATGAATGTTATGATTACTGTCGGTGGTGGAAGTTCATGAATGGTATGATTATTGTCGGTGGTGGGAGTTCATGAATGGTATGATTATTGTCGGTGGTGGGAGTTCATGAATGGTATGATTATTGTCGGTGGTGGGAGTTCATGAATGGTATGATTATTGTCGTCGGTGGGAGTTCATGAATGGTATGATTATTGTCGGTGGTTGGAGTTCATGAATGGTATGATTATTGTCGGTGGTGGGAGTTCATGAATGGTATGATTACTGTCAGTGGTGGGAGTTCATGAATGGTATGATTATTGTCAGTGGTGGGAGTTCATGAATGTTATGATTACTGTCAGTGGTGGGAGTTCATGAATGGTATGATTATTGTCAGTGGTGGGAGTTCATGAATGGTATGATTATTGTCGGTGGTGGGAGTTCATGAATGGTATGATTATTGTCGGTGGTGGGAGTTCATGACTGTTATGATTACTGTCGGTGGTGGAAGTTCATGAATGTTATGATTACTGTCGGTGGTGGAAGTTCATGAATGGTATGATTACTGTCAGTGGTGGAAGTTCATGAACGTTATGATTACTGTCGGTGGTGGGAGTTCATGAATGGTATGATTACTGTCGGTGGTGGAAGTTCATGACTGTTATGATTACTGTCGGTGGTGGGAGTTCATGAATGGTATGATTACTGTCAGTGGTGGAAGTTCATGAATGGTATGATTACTGTCGGTGGTGGAAGTTCATGACTGTTATGATTACTGTCGGTGGTGGGAGTTCATGAATGGTATGATTACTGTCGGTGGTGGAAGTTCATGAATGTTATGATTACTGTCGGTGGTGGAAGTTCATGAATGGTATGATTACTGTCGGTGGTGGAAGTTCATGAATGGTATGATTACTGTCAGTGGTGGGAGTTCATGAATGGTATGATTACTGTCAGTGGTGGGAGTTCATGAATGGTATGATTACTGTCGGTGGTTGGAGTTCATGAATGGTATGATTACTGTCAGTGGTGGGAGTTCATGAATGGTATGATTACTGTCAGTGGTGGGAGTTCATGAATGGTATGATTATTGTCAGTGGTGGGAGTTCATGAATGGTATGATTATTGTCAGTGGTGGGAGTTCATGAATGGTATGATTACTGTCGGTGGTGGAAGTTCATGAATGGTATGATTACTGTCAGTGGTGGGAGTTCATGACTGTTATGATTACTGTCGGTGGTGGAAGTTCATGAATGGTATGATTACTGTCGGTGGTGGAAGTTCATGACTGTTATGATTACTGTCGGTGGTGGAAGTTCATGAATGTTATGATTATTGTCGGTGGTGGGAGTTCATGAATGTTATGATTACTGTCAGTGGTGGGAGTTCATGAATGGTATGATTACTGTCAGTGGTGGGAGTTCATGAATGGTATGATTACTGTCAGTGGTGGGAGTTCATGAATGGTATGATTACTGTCGGTGGTTGGAGTTCATGAATGGTATGATTACTGTCAGTGGTGGGAGTTCATGAATGGTATGATTACTGTCAGTGGTGGGAGTTCATGAATGGTATGATTACTGTCAGTGGTGGGAGTTCATGACTGTTATGATTACTGTCGGTGGTGGAAGTTCATGAATGTTATGATTACTGTCAGTGGTGGGAGTTCATGACTGTTATGATTACTGTCGGTGGTGGAAGTTCATGAATGTTATGATTACTGTCGGTGGTGGAAGTTCATGAATGGTATGATTACTGTCGGTGGTGGAAGTTCATGAATGGTATGATTACTGTCAGTGGTGGGAGTTCATGAATGGTATGATTACTGTCAGTGGTGGGAGTTCATGAATGGTATGATTACTGTCGGTGGTTGGAGTTCATGAATGGTATGATTACTGTCAGTGGTGGGAGTTCATGAATGGTATGATTACTGTCAGTGGTGGGAGTTCATGAATGGTATGATTATTGTCGGTGGTGGAAGTTCATGAATGTTATGATTATTGTCAGTGGTGGAAGTTCATGAATGGTATGATTATTGTCAGTGGTGGAAGTTCATGAATGGTATGATTACTGTCAGTGGTGGGAGTTCATGACTGTTATGATTACTGTCGGTGGTGGAAGTTCATGAATGGTATGATTACTGTCGGTGGTGGAAGTTCATGACTGTTATGATTACTGTCGGTGGTGGAAGTTCATGAATGTTATGATTATTATCGGTGGTGGGGAGTTCATGAATGGTGGCGATTACTGTCAGTGGTGGGAGTTCATGAATGGTATGATTACTGTCAGTGGTGGGAGTTCATGAATGGTATGATTACTGTCAGTGGTGGGAGTTCATGAATGGTATGATTACTGTCGGTGGTTGGAGTTCATGAATGGTATGATTACTGTCAGTGGTGGGAGTTCATGAATGGTATGATTACTGTCAGTGGTGGGAGTTCATGAATGGTATGATTACTGTCAGTGGTGGGAGTTCATGAATGTTATGATTACTGTCAGTGGTGGGAGTTCATGAATGGTATGATTACTGTCGGTGGTGGGAGTTCATGAATGGTATGATTATTGTCAGTGGCGGGAGTTCATGAATGGTATGATTACTGTCAGTGGTGGAAGTTCATGAATGGTATGATTATTGTCGGTGGTGGGAGTTCATGAATGGTATGATTATTGTCGGTGGTGGGAGTTCATGAATGGTATGATTATTGTCGGTGGTGGGCGTTCATGAATGGTATGATTACTGTCAGTGGTGGGAGTTCATGAATGGTATGATTACTGTCGGTGGTTGGAGTTCATGAATGGTATGATTACTGTCGGTGGTGGGAGTTCATGAATGGTATGATTATTGTCAGTGGTGGGAGTTCATGAATGGTATGATTATTGTCAGTGGTGGGAGTTCATGAATGGTATGATTACTGTCGGTGGTGGAAGTTCATGAATGGTATGATTATTGTCAGTGGTGGGAGTTCATGAATGGTATGATTACTGTCAGTGGTGGGAGTTCATGAATGGTATGATTACTGTCGGTGGTTGGAGTTCATGAATGGTATGATTACTGTCGGTGGTGGGAGTTCATGAATGGTATGATTATTGTCAGTGGTGGGAGTTCATGAATGGTATGATTACTGTCAGTGGTGGAAGTTCATGAATGGTATGATTATTGTCGGTGGTGGGAGTTCATGAATGGTATGATTACTGTCAGTGGTGGGAGTTCATGAATGGTATGATTACTGTCGGTGGTGGAAGTTCATGAATGGTATGATTATTGTCAGTGGTGGGAGTTCATGAATGGTATGATTACTGTCGGTGGTGGGAGTTCATGAATGGTATGATTACTGTCGGTGGTGGAAGTTCATGAATGGTATGATTATTGTCAGTGGTGGAAGTTCATGAATGGTATGATTATTGTCGGTGGTGGAAGTTCATGAATGGTATGATTATTGTCAGTGGTGGGAGTTCATGAATGGTATGATTATTGTCAGTGGTGGGAGTTCATGAATGGTATGATTATTGTCAGTGGTGGGAGTTCATGAATGGTATGATTACTGTCGGTGGTGGAAGTTCATGACTGTTATGATTATTGTCAGTGGTGGGAGTTCATGAATGGTATGATTACTGTCGGTGGTTGGAGTTCATGAATGGTATGATTACTGTCGGTGGTTGGAGTTCATGAATGGTATGATTATTGTCAGTGGTGGGAGTTCATGAATGGTATGATTATTGTCAGTGGTGGGAGTTCATGAATGGTATGATTACTGTCAGTGGTGGGAGTTCATGAATGGTATGATTATTGTCAGTGGTGGGAGTTCATGAATGGTATGATTATTGTCAGTGGTGGGAGTTCATGAATAGTATGATTATTGTCAGTGGTGGGAGTTCATGAATGGTATGATTATTGTCAGTGGTGGGAGTTCATGAATGGTATGATTTTTGTCGGTGGTGGAAGTTCATGACTGTTATGATTATTGTCAGTGGTGGGAGTTCATGAATGGTATGATTACTGTCGGTGGTTGGAGTTCATGAATGGTATGATTACTGTCGGTGGTTGGAGTTCATGAATGGTATGATTATTGTCAGTGGTGGGAGTTCATGAATGGTATGATTATTGTCAGTGGTGGGAGTTCATGAATGGTATGATTACTGTCAGTGGTGGGAGTTCATGAATGGTATGATTATTGTCAGTGGTGGGAGTTCATGAATGGTATGATTATTGTCAGTGGTGGGAGTTCATGAATGGTATGATTATTGTCAGTGGTGGGAGTTCATGAATAGTATGATTATTGTCAGTGGTGGGAGTTCATGAATGGTATGATTATTGTCAGTGGTGGTGGAGTTCATGAATGGTATGATTATTGTCGGTGGTGGGAGTTCATGAATGGTATGATTATTGTCGGTGGTGGGAGTTCATGAATGGTATGATTATTGTCAGTGGTGGGAGTTCATGAATGGTATGATCACTTACGGTTGAAGGGGTTAATGACTGGTATGATCACTGTCGGTGGAAGGGGTTAATGACTGGTATGATCACTGTTGGTGGAAGGGGTTTATGACTGGTATGATTACTGTCGGTGGAAGGGGTTAATGACTGGTATGATTACTGTCGGTGGAAGGGGTTAATGACTGGTATGATTACTGTCGGTGGAAGGGGTAAAAGACTGGTATGATCACTGTCGGTGGAAGGGGTTAATGACTGGTATGATTACTTTAATTGGAAGGGGTTAATGAATGGTATGATAACTGTTATTAGAAGGGCTTAATGACTGGTATAATTACTGTTATTAGAAGGGGTTAATGACTGCTGGTATGATTACTTTTATTGGAAGGGGTTAATGACTGGTATGATTACTGTCGGTGGAAGAGGTTAATGACTGGTATGATTATTGTGGGTGGTAGGAGTTCATCACTGGTATGATTACTGTCGGTGGAAGGGGTTAAAGACTTGTATGATTACTGTTATTAGAAGGGCTTAATGAATGGTATGATCATTGTCGGTGGAAGGGGTTAATGAATGGTATAAACACTGTCGGTGGAAGGGGTTAATGACTGGTATGATTACTGTCGGTGGAAGGGGTTAATGACTGGTATGATTACTGTTATTGGAAGGTTTAATGAATGGTATAATCACTGTCGGTGGAAGGGGTTAATGAATGGTATAATCACTGTTAGTGGAAGGGGTTAATGACTGGTATGATTACTGTCGGTGGAAGGGGTTAATGACTGGTATGATTACTGTTATTGGAAGGGGTTAATGAATGGTATGATTACTGTCGGTGGAAGGGGTTAATGACTAGTATGATTACTTTTGTTTGAAGGGGTTAATGAATGGTATGAATATTGTCGGTGGAAGGGGTTAATGACTGGTATGATTACTGTTATTAGAAGGGCTTAATGACTGGTATGATTACTGTTATTAGAAGGGCTTAATGACTGGTATGGTTGCTGTTATTAGAAGGGCTTAATGACTGGTATGATTACTGTTATTGGAAGGTTTTAATGAATGGTATGAATATTGTCGGTGGAAGGGGTTAATGACTAGTATGATTACTTTTATTAGAAGGGCTTAATGACTGGTATGATTACTGTTATTAGAAGGGCTTAATGACTGGTATGATCACTGTTGGTGGAAGGGGTTAATGACTGGTATGATCACTGTCGGTGGAAGGGGTTAATGACTGGTATGATCACTATCGGTGGAAGGGGTTAATGACTGGTATGATCACTGTCGGTGGAAGGGGTTAATGACTGGTATGGTCACTGTTAGTGGAAGGGGTTTATGACTGGTATGATCACTGTTGGTGGAAGGGGTTAATGACTGGTATGATCACTGTCAGTGGAAGGGGTTAATGACTGGTATGATCACTGTCGGTGGGAGGGGTTAATGAATGGTATGATTACTGTCGGTGGAAGGGGTTAATGACTGGTATGATTACTGTTATTGGAAGGTTTAATGAATGGTATAATCACTGTCGGTGGAAGGGGTTAATGAATGGTATAATCACTGTTAGTGGAAGGGGTTAATGACTGGTATGATTACTGTCGGTGGAAGGGGTTAATGACTGGTATGATTACTGTTATTGGAAGGGGTTAATGAATGGTATGATTACTGTCGGTGGAAGGGGTTAATGACTAGTATGATTACTTTTATTTGAAGGGGTTAATGAATGGTATGATCATTGTCGGTGGAAGGGGTTAATGAATGGTATAAACACTGTCGGTGGAAGGGGTTAATGACTGGTATGATTACTGTCGGTGGAAGGGGTTAATGACTGGTATGGTCACTGTTAGTGGAAGGGGTTAATGAATGGTATGGTCACTGTTAGTGGAAGGGGTTTATGACTGGTATGATCACTGTTGGTGGAAGGGGTTAATGACTGGTATGATCACTGTCGGTGGAAGGGGTTAATGACTGGTATGGTCACTGTTAGTGGAAGGGGTTTATGACTTGTATTATCACTGTTAGTGGAAGGAGTCAATGAATTGTATAGTGTTAGTTTATTAAGCAGGGCTAATGATAGACAGTCTGAATTTAGGCTGACAATAGAAGGTATGGATCCACAAGGGGATATGGGAATAAACTTTAGTAGGGTGAGGCATCATAGAAGTTTTCAATGGCCATTATGTTAGCAAAATAAACTGACGTTCAAAAGAAAGTACACACCTGATTCTTTGGTAAAATATTTTCTTAAAAACAGCATTTATATTTAGAAAAGTTGCAAGTGTTTCATAAACGTCACAGATAGCGTACACAATTGCAACATTGCTAGCAAAATATTTATTTTTTATTTAAATAGTCCCAAAACACCAGGTGTGTACTTTCTTGTGTACGTCGGTATATTTACATGGATACAGTATTTACCATTGGTCTTGTTTGTAGATGACATTGTTGCCCACATCGTGGATGTCACATACAAGTTCTGCAAGCTGATCACGTATAAAAGTTCACTGACAGTCATGAAATATCTCGACAAGGCATGTGTGAAAGTAGCTCACGGTGTTCACACACGTCACTTCCTCTGTGCACTGCAGGATAAGGCCGTGATGGAGAGGCAGCGTGGTGACATTGATTCGTGTAGGTATATTTACACATACATGTATCTGTCTTAACAACCAGGGCTCGAGTTGTGTTCTCAGCATAGTGTCGGCCCAATATCTCCTTTAACGCACAGCGAACACAGGGGCCAGTATCTCCTTTAACACATAGGGAAGACTGGGGCCCTGTATCTCCTTTGACACGGGGAAGACATCTTATATTTGGGATTACACCTTCTCAGTAAAGTGCAGATTCTAAAATTTATTGGGTCGAGTCCCCATTCAGAGTTAGGCACCTAATCGCCAGCACACAAAGTGATGGAGTGGGTTTGAATGTGTGCTGGCGATTAGGTGCCTGACTCTGCAGGTGTGAGGGCAGTGGGGTGGCCTAGTGGTTAAAGCGTTCGCTCGTCACGCCGAAGACCCGGGTTCGATTCTCCACGTGGGTACATTGTGTGAAGCCTTTTTCTCGTGTCCCCCGCCATGATATTGCTGGAATATTGCTAAAAGCCGCGTAAAACTAAACTTACTGAGGGTGTGGGTTCGAATCCCGAATGGGACTCAACCCAATAAAAGTACTAGAATCTGTACTTTACTGAGGAAGTGTAATCCCAATTATAACATGTGTCACCCATGCCACTTCTCGGTCCACCCATGCCACTTCTCGGTCCACCCATGCCACTTCTCGGTCCACCCATGCCACTTCTCGGTCCACCCATACCACTTCTCGGTCCACCCATACACCAAGTCAGTGCTCATTTTGTCAGCAAGACTAAAAATCCTTGATGTTTGTTATGAACCTTGTGCTTAATCATGTGCCACGCCATGTTATAATGTGCAATAGTAGTACACATTAGCGACATGATCATTACTATTACAGATAAGTTCTGGATGTACAGCTGGGCTGTGAACGATTCAGAGGATGACCACGGGAAGAACGTGGTGGCGTTTCAGAGTGTACGACGTCAGCGTTTCCTTATGTGCAACATGACTTCCAAGAAACTCTCTCTTGTCAAGGTAGGCTTCACACAAGACCTTAACTCAATATTGAACTCCATACGTGAATCATCATGTTTGTATATGTTTTTATACATTAGCTAACCTGTCTTGACCTTGACCTTGACCACGTTGTCTTGTCTAATGTCTGTTGACGTCGTCTGTGAATATCATCTCGAAAAGCACTGGACGAATCAAGATGAAATTTTAATATTCTTTCAACCAATCATGACACCAAACTTTGTTCACGAGGTTCAAATCATGTTTTCAATACATGTCCTTCCCGCTGGGCCAATGCTCATTATTGTGTGGTTATATTATATTTTTTAGAAAAACATTGATCCCAACCTGAGGATAATGAAATCCAACAGCCCATGTTTATTCTTGATGACTCTGAACGGTAGCAATGAGACGTTTCTGGAGTCCGTGGCTTATGATGGTAAGTTCTCAAATTACACTATATACCTTGTACCACCTCTGATGGTAAGTACTCAAATGACACTACATCGTGTATGTCTTCCGCTGGTAAGTTCTCAAATGACACTATAACTTGTATAGCCAATGATGGTAACCTCTCAAATGACACAACATATTGCATCGCCTCTGATGGTAAATTCTCAATAACACAGTATCTGATGATAACTTCTCAGTCACACCGAACCTTATGGAAGGAAGTTAGCAATGACACCAGATCTTATTCAGATCCAATCCTGAAGATTCAGAGTAAGTAAACCCTGCCCGCAAGACGGTATGACAAGATTCAGAGTAAGTAAACCCTGCCCGCAAGACGGTATGACAAGATTCAGAGTAAGTAAACCCTGCCCGCAAGACGGTATGACAAGATTCAGAGTAAGTAAACCCTGCCCGCAAGACGGTATGACAAGATTCAGAGTAAGTAAACCCTGCCCGCAAGATGGTATGACAAGATTCAGAGTAAGTAAACCCTGCCCGCAAGACGGTATGACAAGATTCAGAGTAAGTAAACCCTGCCCGCAAGACGGTATGACAAGATTCAGAGTAAGTAAACCCTGCCCGTAAGACGGTATGACAAGATTCAGAGTAAGTAAACCCTGCCCGCAAGACGGTATGACAAGATTCAGAGTAAGTAAACCCTGCCCGCAAGACGGTATGACAAGATTCAGAGTAAGTAAACCCTGCCCGTAAGACGGTATGACAAGATTCAGAGTAAGTAAACCCTGCCCGCAAGACGGTATGACAAGATTCAGAGTAAGTAAACGCTGCCCGCAAGACGGTATGACAAGATTCAGAGTAAGTAAACCCTGCCCGCAAGACGGTATGACAAGATTCAGAGTAAGTAAACCCTGCCCGCAAGACGGTATGACAAGATTCAGAGTAAGTAAACCCTGCCCGCAAGATGGTATGACAAGATTCAGAGTAAGTAAACCCTGCCCGCAAGACGGTATGACAAGTGGGATGACTTCAGTTTACCAATAGCCAACTTTCCACATTCCAACGCTTCCAGTTGTTTGCGTCTGAACATTCTGACGTACAATCGATCATGTTCTTAGATCAAATAAGTGCATTTTGCTCAAGCAATTTCTCAATTTGATGCATCAGTGTTATAAAAGATGTCCAATTCAATTCCCTCTCATTCCTATGTTGTTCCAGAACAATTGACGTGCCTTTGAGTGTGTTTGTTAAGGGTGACACCGGCGGAGCAGGATACGCTCAACCTTTCACGCTACCCAAAAAGGAAATTAACTGATACGATGTATAAGTTGTTTCCCAGCAAAGGTTATCTGTTAGATATAGTATCACTGTATCCCTACCTGCAGGTATTGTTAGCTGAATGAACACATGAAAGACTAACGGTGAGGCATAGTTTCATTCCCCCTTCAGTTAAGTACATTTGTAATTGCTTCGTCTTACACATCCTTCTCAGCAGTATCTATGTGTTGAAGGTGCATGCTATCAATGTTGTTTTATGTTGTAGGTGCTATACATTATTTCGGGGCGGTGGGGTAGCCTAATGGTTAAGCGTCCGCTCGTCACACTGAAGACACGGGTTCGATTCCCTATATGGGTACAATGTGTAAAGCAATTTTTTCAGGTATCCTGAATATTGCAAAAAGCTGCGTAAAACCATACTTGCGCACACACTTAATATTATTTCAATACAATTTCTCCGAAGTTATTTCTCTTAGAAGACAGGGTTGTATATTATTTCGTAATTATTTCATATTACTGTTTTCAATTATTGTTTTTAAATTAATGGCAAATGAAAACATATATTTCATTATTTATTTGTAGGTCTTTTCGTGAGCTACGATGATGTTGATGAACTGGAACTAAGCCGGAAGGACCCACAAGATAGGTCATCAGATGATACCCGTGCAACCTTTGCCTTCCAAATCACACCAAGTGCACCATGAATCGGGCGCCCTGCACGGTGTAATCAGTCTGAACGGGACTTCTTTGGAACAATAACTGAAGTTTTGATTTGAACAACTACAATGGACCTGGAGTCCTGTGTCAAAGGTTAATCCTGTTAATCCGGAGCAGGATTAGTCGACGACTTGCCATTAGCCCCTTAAGTCAGGGGAGATAACTTGGATATCACGTTACTCTCCCATTCGTGACCAACTCGTGTTATTCCGGGACAAGCCGAATTTTCTTGGAGGTTACGGAAAGAGGCGAGTGGTGACGAATGGTTACCCTCCTACAAGAACAATTTTCCTCATAGTCTGAGGTTCCCTAAGTTGCCAAGTGTGTCCCTTGGTAATGTGTTCGAATCCCTGATTGGACGTGACTATGTTTTTGGTTTATCAACACCACGCCCGTTCTCATTTATATAATTCCAGACACTTCCGGCCATTGCAGGCTCTCATCTCCCTACTTCCCCATCCCTATCATGTCTGATACTTCATGCTGCAAAAGTACCGTCACACATTCCTCCGAAATACATTCTGATTACACGATTAAATCTTGTATTTAATGAGTCAGTTAAGTTACTTGTGTCTTGCTTTATTATAATCTAATTGGCATCGGATTGTGTATTGTGGATACTGGAAGTTTATGTGAGATCATGGATTTATTTCCAAACATGCTTTTACTTTGTTTCCAACGAGGACTTTATTGGAAAAACGTAATTTTTCTGTTATGAAATGACGTTCAAATTAGATATAACTCAACGTTGATTATCTTTCTTTTAATGGTCTGTTGTTTTCTATCCTCCCTGGATAGGACTTCTGCCTGGGGAGCGGAAGGTTGTTGTTCGAACCTTTGTCAGAACGTCATAAGGTGTTACGTAATGAGACGTTAAAATATGGTATTAACCTGACTGGCGTTTAAAGGCGATGAACAGTGATCGGCTGGGAGGGCGTATACATGTTAAACATGGGCGTGGCATCTCAGAGGACAAAATATGAAATGTGGGGTGCAGACTAGTAGAAGCAGGGGCGAACACACTCTCTCTCTCTCTCTCTCTCTCTCTCTCTCTCTCTCTCTCTCTCTCTCTCTCTCTCTCTCTCTCTCTCTCTCTCTCTCTCTCTCTCTCTCTCTCTCTCTCTCTCTCTCTCTCTCTCTGTATACATCTGTCTGTGTTAACTGTCATGCACTACAGACTCCGATCTGACAGCGTTTACTGAAATGTTCACCATGATGTATTTCTATTTTGATGGACGTAATAAATAAAAATCCTACATACGTTGTTAACGAAAAACAGAAACAATAGAATTATCTGCGTTGTTTGAATTAAGACTTCCCCAGTGATTCCATGGCGTATCAACTATGTCGTGCACGACAGCACATAGTTATAACAACTCGAAAAATTAGAAATTCAATGTATTACTCCGACTGAGTGAGTTATGATTTAATGTCACAGTGGCCATATTTCAGTGGTATCCGAGACGCCATCACTAAGCTTCACACATTGTACCCATATGGGTGAGGTGAGGTGAAATTGGGTTTAACATCGTGCTTGAGAATATTTCGCTCATATGACGACGTGCATGCATCGCTCTATGCAATATACAAGAAGTTGTTATCCATAATCTACTTCCCCACCCTCCCCCACCCCCTTCCAACCTCCCCTTCCCAAGAGGTCCGACAAATAACAGAAAATAACAGAATCATTTCGGTGTTTGTTTCCTGGTAGTGTCGTTTTACACTTCCTTGTGAATAAGGTTAAGACAAAACTCATGTTGATAGTGTATAGAGAAATATGTAGTGTGCCATACACATCCTGAAAACAATACACCCAATACTGTCAGCCTTTAACAAGTGGCCAGTGTAGATTTCAGCAGTTGCAGGTTGATAATGAAGATTATGTCTGCCTCTTCCTGTTATATTTAAGTAGCATAATGTAAAAATATCATTTTCTGGGTTTTTTAACTGAGGTGCTAGTCGAGCACCAGTTCACAAAATGGACTTACATATTCATCTGGGAGATGTTTATGTTTATGCTGACATTCTGGTTCAGATCAGTCACCTGTGTTCTACAGACATTAGTCATTGACAGTTTCATTTCACTAAACATAAACTCGTTTACTGCCTAGTAAGTGAAAGAGGAACTTTGCATCACAAACAGATTGTATAGCCTTGATTAATCTACTATCAGGTCAAAATCCACTGTCGAACGGAATGTGACATGCAACGAAAGTAGAAAGGACGGAGCTTTGGGTATTTAGCTTTCTTTCACATCCTTTCTGATACAGAGCAGATAAACATACATGTTGCTGTAAATCTATTCTTACTACGGGAAAAGTGAGTGAGTGAGTTTAGTTTTACGCTGCTTTTAGCAATATTCCTGCAATATCACAGCGGGGTACACCAGAAATGGGCTTTACACATTGTACCCATGTGGGGAATTGAACACGGGTGCAACCTCCGTGTGAACCTACGCAGATTGGGATTAGAACCCAAGGGACACAGCTCGGCACAGAGGTACGCATGGCTATTACTGGAATAGATGAAGCAATAAGGTTAGTACAAAACGTATAACAACAATGTAACCGAATTTGGTCATACGTATTCCATATAATTACACGAAGACTTGTGACGTGTTAGGGGACATCAGGCCGTCAAGTAGTGGTTTCTGTTTACCTACACGAACCGTCATGTTCATGGTAAGGGTCAATTGAAGTGTGTAAAGATGATGATGATGATGATGATGATGATGAAGAGGAGTTGGAGGAGTGAGTTCCGTTTTACGCCGCTTTCAGCAATATTCCGGCAACATAATGCCGGGGGACAACAAAAGCTGACTTCACACATTGTACCCATGTGGGAATCGAACCCGATTCTGCGGCGTGACGAGCGAACGCCTTAACAACTAGGCTACCCCACAGCCCCAAAGGGTGGATTAGAAGGAGGACGAGTGGAGAGGGCAGGATCAAGTTCAGGAGGTGAAGGAAATTGAGGAGGAAGAGGTGGATGGTATGCTCAAAAGCGACATTACTGAACGGATGTTTTATATATTTTACCTGTGAATTTCAACCACCTGTTTACTCCTTAAATTGAATTTTTATGTTTTGGTGGACAGATCTTATTTATTTAATGTCGCATTATTCTATAGTATCATATTATTATTATCTAATAATCAGCCTGTCCCCGTATCGTCAGAAACCGGCATCGTCAGAAGTCGACGTTAAACCCGTAAAGTGATTGACTGAAAGCACTATTTGCACCGTATGAGAAATTCAGGACACCTTTCACTGGTGGACTCATATATGGCTGTAATTCACGCGTCGCAGATGATAACCAAATCAAACATAATTCACTATTAAAGACAACCAAATGAAGTTTTACAGATAATTATTAAAACGAAATCTTCAAGAAACATTACTGTTCTGTAGAACTGTATTTTAATATCGAAGCAGGATAAATTTTGTGGTAATAAAATTACTGACACATAATCCCAAATATAACATGTTCTAAGTGGTCTAGCTGTGGTTACCAAATTCTGTAAGCCCAAAGTATTTAATCTTATAAAATTTAAATCAAATATAAAAACTTCCACGTGTTATGTCTGTGGAGATGGGTGATGACCAATATGAAATGTTTATCTTGAGTTGCAACGTAATCTTGAAAAAGTCAAAGTGGTCCACGATCATGAATTACTTTAGAGTTATCCGCCCTTGTCGCATAGCGATTGTTTATCAAGATGGCGGCAAGGTGCTTGTGAAATGACCCACTGAGGTTATAAACCTTGAAAAACACTTGACGTGCGTGACAATAGCAGAATTAAGGTATGCAAAACGGATTGTGCTTAGATAGCACGAATACCTCGAACTGACAAAAATAATTAGATGAGTAAAATAGATGGAATATGTTCGTATCGAAGCTGCAATGTCTGTTTGACATCACCGTTTTAGCCTTTTGATTAAAAGACATCCTCTGAGTACCTGACAGTGATTGAATCATGCAGTGTTGGGATGTTCTGTCAGGATGGCCAAACAGATTAAAAGCACTGTCACTGATTTGAAAGTTCAATTATGACAAGTAAATATGTTTTGTACCTGGGTATATCAATCGGAAACCAGTCATTTACTAATTAGGCTTGCTCTGCTTATTTTAGTTTCAGTTATTATCTATATCAACATATTTCTTGAAAATGTTTTAAGTATGCATTAGGTTGCACATGAACTTTCAGCATTATTTTATGAATATTTTGTATTTCTCTGGAATTCTGCAGAAACAGTAGAAAGATCAGTGGTGACCACTATTATACGTTTCGAACTGTTCTGTTTGCCTTTTGTTTTGTACATATACTGGCTATGAGCTATCTGACAGTTTCTCCTAAAATAGAAAATGTGACAGCATCACTTTATATACATACAAAGAATAACCGCAGACTGGGCAGTGTAGTAGTTTATTCAGTCAAGTCAAATTGCAAAATAATAACAGAAACAGAATAGGATGATGTTAGAAGTATGTAGATGGATTGTTACACCTTGCCGTCTCCAACCCAACCAAGACAAGACCCTTGGTCATTAAAAACACCAAATATCTTTCAAACTTAACTCATGAACATGTGAAATTCTAATTATTTCTATATTTGAACTTATGAAACATGTATTTCGGTAAATTATGAAAAGTGTTAATACACTTGATTCATAAAGTGTATCCCTTTTTGAAATCTACATAAAAAATCAGGTAAATATTATCTCAAAGGACATGCTATAACAACATAGCATTTTTTTACCTTTTTCCTATTTATGAAAAGAGAAAGTGCAGTTTTCTTGTTCTGGCTTTCCAATGTGCCCACCTGCCTTTTTCAGTCATTAGATTAGGGGAATCCACTCTGACCAGAAGCCATTATCCATAGAGTGTCTACTTTGTCATCTGTCTACTTCTGCTTGTCAAACAATTCATCTACCGGCAATTCTCACATGTAAATAATTTGGTTTTATCGTCTGGGAAACTTTAAATGATCATATAAGTGTTGTGAGAGTATATTTAAGTTTACATGTATGTATTTTACTTGAATTAAAAAAATTGTGAAAATAATTTCCAGACAAGATGTTAGTCATTACTTCTCCTTCTCTGGCAGCTCTTTGTACATGGTGCCTTTAACCATGGAGATTTGTACGGATTAAATATAATATTGTATACATGTGAAGTATATACATGGTGAGTACAGAACTGTTATTGTATCCAGGAGCTGTGGGGTAGCCTAACAGTTAATGTGTTTGCTCGTCACGCCGAAGACCCCGGTTCCATTCCCCACATGGGTACAATGTGTGAAGCCCATTTCTGGTGTCCCCCGCCATGATATTGCTGGAATATTGTTAAAAGCAGCATAAATTATACTCCCTCACTCACGCACTGTTCTCGTAACTCAGCAAGATAGGAAATATACATTTACATTTACATTACACAATGCACCCAGTAGTCACCCAACCACACCAATGTTTTACCAGTTTATGTGCTGTTCACAAAAATATTTATTCATATCAAGTAAGAGTTTGTGTGGTCTTAGATGTTTCAACGTTATATATTCTATCTAATTGTTTTTTAACTAAGAAACGATTTTAGCTCTTATGGATGATTATTTGGCTGACTTTGTTAACTGCAATGACAACAGATGTCGTCAGTCGGGCCGACGGAGACACTACTGCGCCTCAACACAGCCACGACCTTCGAAGGGGAGGCCGATGCCACATCTGAGGAGGTCCAAGTGAGCTACAAGACTGGCGCCACGTTCCAGGGTAAAGTTCAAGACCACAAGAGAGTCGGTCGTGGGGTTTTCACATGGCCAAATGGAGAGAAATATGACGGGCAGTTTTCAGATAATCTGAGGCATGGAAAAGGTTTGTCATTTATATTTTATCCATGTTATTTATGTCAGTGTTTGAATGTTTGTGTTGGAGAGATTTTAATGAGTGTTGTGTTTAGGGCTGGCTAACATTATATATCATAGAGATCAAGAATTGATTACTAAATATCAATCGATTATTGATAAATCTTGGAGACGTAACTTTGAGCTAAATTGTCTGAAAGAAATGAATATATTTCACATCCCTGGTGAGTGGTGACATGTTTGTGTATGGGTTATAATCCAAACAAACAAAACCACCCCATTTTCACAAAATAATGCATTTTTGAAAATCGTGTTGAATTTAAAATCTATATATACATCTGAAAAGCTTTAGATTCAAATTCCATGCCATTTTTCTGTGTCATTAAGTGATGTTCCCTCCTGCAGGCATCCAGTACTGGTCAGATGGTAGTTTCTATGACGGAGTATTTGTCCATGACCTGAGACACGGAGAAGGCTACATTGAATGGGCAAACAAAGAGGTATGTGGGAGAACTTTAGAATCACTGTATTCATTTGGTATATCTGTTGCAATTTTGTCACAGAACGTCCTTTAGATTACTTTATGGTTGATCCACCTGTGGGGTAGCGGACAGAGTGTCTTCACACAGAGAAAGTGGTCAGTGGTTAGATCCCTGGCTCCTGTTCCTCAAAGCGATCATAGCGCTACAACTGTCGTAAGTCTATGTTAAAGTATGGATGTTATGATCACCTCAGCGCTACAATCACTTTGTGGAACAGGGCCTATATTTTCGAAGCTCTCTTAGCGCTAAGATAGTCGTAAGTTAATGTAAATGTATGGCACTTACGACTATCTTAGCGCTAAGAGAGTTTCGAAAATCTAGGCCCTGGTCCTGTCATATCAAACAATTTTAAAGTATGTTATTTGTTGTTACGCTGCCTGGTGGAGATTTACGTTAAGAAGACAAACACGGACTGGTCCACTGAGACAGGGTCTCTCAACACTATAACAACAACATAAGTTCAGTACAAGCAATGGCAGGCACACACGCACACGCACGCACACACGTGTAAAACGATTTGGTTCCCCCATAGTAAAAGTTCCGGCGGAACTTTTCATTCCAACATTGGTTCCTGTAATAGTGCATGCGGAACAATTATTTCGTTCCGCACACACAGAATTTATTCCGGGTAAAGAGGAACTTCCACACACATCATAAAGTGTCTAAAAGAGGGTTTTGTTTGTTGGGGTGGTCTTAAAAATTGGGGCGTGGGGGGAACGGAAAGGAAAAAAAGATTTTCCTACGGCAAATCATGTGGATCAAGAAGCAATTATCATGCGTGAAAGTTACTTAATTTTTTTTATGAAAATACATTGTAGATTCCCCAGAATGCGAACTGATGATTCTAAATGAATCTTGTGTTAAAAAGAGTTCAGTAATTATGTAACCAAGTTACCTTCATTAATCAGGTTACAGTCAGTAGCCAGGTTACAGTCAACATGTAACCAAGTTACAGTCAGTCAGTAGCCAGGTTACAGTCATTATGTGACCAAGTTACAGTTGGTCAGTAGCCAGGTTACATTCAATATGTAACCAAGTTAGAGTTAGTCAGTAGCCAGGCTACACTCAACATGTAACCAAGTTACAGTTAGTCAGTAGCCAGGTTACAGTCAACATGTTACCAAGTTAGTCAGTAGCCAGGTTACAGTCAACATGTAACCAATTAACAGTCAGTCAGTAGCCAGGTTACAGTCAACATGTAACAATTAACAGTCAGTCAGTAGCCGGATTACAGTCAACATGTAACCAAGTTACAGTTAGTCGGTAGCCAGGTTACAGTCACTATGTAACCAAGTTACAGCCAGTCAGTAGCCAGGTTAGTGAACATGTAACCTAGTTACAGTTAGTCAGTAGCCAGATTACAGTCAACATGTAACCAAGTTACAGTTAGTCAGTAGCCAGGTTACAGTCGACATGTAACCAAGTTACAGTCAGTAGCCAGGTTACAGTCGACTTGTAACCAAGTTACAGTCAGTAGCCAGGTTACAGTCGACATGTAACCAAGTTACAGTCAGTAGCCAGGTTACAGTCAACATGTTACCAGGTTACAGTCAACATGTAACCAAGTTACAGTTAGTAGCCAGGTTACAGTCAACATGTAACCAAGTTGAAGTTAGTAGACATCCCGGATGTTGACAAGTTGGATGAGTCCATTTTGCATTCAATAATGACTGGAATAGGTTAGGCCTACGGTATTTGTTCCTGTTCGATGGAATATTTGCCGTATGTGCGGAATTTTTATTCGTGTCATCCATTCTCAATTTCACGGCATTTATTCCGAACCGGAACATTTACTACTCGGAACTAAATCATGTTTACACACGTGCACACTCACAAATACTCACACTCACTCACTCTCTCACTCACAAAAACACTATATAAGTAAAATAATAAAAAAACACAACATTCAACCCCATTTCACCTCACCTCACCCCCTAAATGTTTGAGGTAGTGGCAAGTTATCAACTGGCACTTCAAACAACAGTAGCAGATGAGAATGTAGAACTTGATGTTCACAGGCAACAGTTGAGATCAAGCTTAAATTACAGAGCCTGGTCTGAGTCAAAGCTGAAAGAAAACATTTAATGCTATAAACCGGTGGCTCACTGTGCTCTGATTTGAAGTTCCCACTTAAGTGCAAAGTGACACAGATTTAGAAAGCTTTGTATGTAAGTGTAGGCCCAGCTCACTGCTTATCTTAGACTACTTGAAAGTTGACAGTTTTTGAAATAAGTTAATAAGTTCATGGAAGGAATTGCCTAATGGCGAAATGTTTTTTGGGTGTGAATATTATGTAATGCCAAAACTTGAGTCAACTTAGCAATTGCTTCTTTGTGACACAAATAAGCGGGAATTTGTGACCTTTGGAATATGGACAAACTTGAGGAATACACAGCAATCATTATTATAAGCACAGTTCCTTTTATGTAAGGCTTACAACTTATCAATCAGTCCTCGAACATGTTGACCTCTGCTGCTTTGAAATATGGTTTATGGGTGACTGACTGACTGAGTTTGGTTTTACGCCGCTTTTAGCAATATTCCAGCAACATCACGTCAGGGGACACCAGAAAAGGGCTTCACACATTGTACCCATGAGGGGATTCGAACCCGGGTCTTCGGCGTGACGAGCCAACGCTTTAACCATTAGGCTACCCCACGGCCCCGGTTTATGGGTGAATCAACATGGCAGCTTTATACATAAATCCTTGAATGTTTGTGGTGCTTTTGGAATCTGTCAAATCCTCTTATGATGATATGAATTTTATCTTTATGTGAAGTCTAAGTAGAAGATTGTTTGGTTAACATTGTTTATACTGGATGATTTTCACTTGTTTTATATTACAGTCTTACAAAGGCACATTCTTCAAAGACCGGCGCCATGGCAAGGGATTATATACATGGCCGGACGGGTCTACATTCCAGGGCACATTTTACATGGACAAGAAAGAGGGTTATGGCACATTTCAGTTTACTAATGGGGATAAATTTGAGGTAAGACAAATTCCTTGAATGGTCAGTTCATTTGTATTGAGTGATAGTTGAAGCTGAACCATTCATGTATACGAGTAACAGTGGAAGTAATCAAAGATTAGTCACAGTCAGAGAAGAAACAGTTGAACATGTTAGATCACCTGAATGTGAGGTCCAGATTGATATCTGGGTAAAGTTAATACTGCAGATAGTGTGTCAAGTTATCATATTACTATATCAAGGGATATCTATAGTTTGTTAGAATTTGCCTTGATTATCATATCACGGGTTATCTTGATTACTTTGTCAAGGGTTATCTTGATTGTGGGTCAAAGGTTATCTTGATTGTTAGGTCGAGGGTTATCTGGATTACTTTGTCAAGGGTTATCTTGATTGTTATGTTAAGGGTTATCTTGATTGTTAGGTCAAGGGTTATCTTGCTTATTATGTCAAGGGTTATCTTGATTGTTAGGTCAAAGGTTATCTTGATTATTTTGTCAAGGGTTATCTTGATTGTTATGTTAAGGGTTATCTTGATTGTTAGGTCAAGGGTTATCTTGCTTATTATGTCAAGGGTTATCTTGATTGTTAGGTCAAAGGTTATCTTGATTATTTTGTCAAGGGTTATCATGATCTACATGTCAAGGGTTATCATGATCTACATGTCAAGGGTTATCATGATCTACATGTCAAGGGTTGTCATGATCTACATGTCAAGGGTTATCATGATCTACATGTCAAGGGTTATCTTGATCTACATGTCAAGGGTTATCATGATCTACATGTCAAGGGTTGTCATGATCTACATGCCAAGGGTTATCTTGATCTACATGTCAAGGGTTATCTTGATCTACATGTCAAGGGTTATCATGATCTACATGTCAAGGGTTGTCATGATCTACATGTCAAGGGTTATCATGATCTACATGTCAAGGGTTATCTTGATCTACATGTCAAGGGTTGTCATGATCTACATGTCAAGGGTTATCATGATCTACATGCCAAGGGTTATCATGATCTACATGCCAAGGGTTGTCATGATCTACATGCCAATGCCAAGGGTTGTCATGATCTACATGCCAAGGGTTATCATGATCTACATGTCAAGGGTTATCATGATCTACATGTCAAGGGTTATCATGATCTACATGTGAAGGGTTATCATGATCTACATGTCAAGGGTTATCATGATCTACTTGTCAAGGGTTATCATGATCTACATGTCAAGGGTTATCTTGATCTACATGTCAAGGGTTATCATGATCTACATGTCAAGGGTTATCATGATCTACATGTCAAGGGTTATGATCTACATGCCAAGGGTTGTCATGATCTACATGTCAAGGGTTATCATGATCTACATGTCAAGGGTTATCATGATCTACATGTGAAGGGTTATCATGATCTACATGTGAAGGGTTATCATGATCTACATGTCAAGGGTTATCATGATCTACATGTCAAGGGTTATCATGATCTACATGTCAAGGGTTATCATGATCTACATGCCAAGGGTTGCCTCAATTATAATGCCAAGGGATGTCATGATTATCATGTCAAGGGTTGTCTGGATTACCATGTCGGTATTCTGCTGCATGTCTTCCCCTACATGCTGGTGATGCTTGTTGCAGAGTCTGTATATCAATGATGGTGATTCTTGTTGCAGGGTCTGTATATCAATGATGGTGGTGCTTGTTGCAGGGTCTGTATATCAATGATGGTGGTGCTTGTTGCAGGGTCTGTATATCAATGATGGTGGTGCTTGTTGCAGGGTCTGTATATCAATGATGGTGATTCTTGTTGCAGGGTCTGTGTATCAATGATGGTGGTGCTTGTTGCAGGGTCTGTATATCAATGATGGTGGTGCTTGCAGGGTCTGTGTATCAATGATGGTGGTGCTTGTTGCAGGGTCTGTATATCAATGATGGTGGTGCTTGTTGCAGGGTCTGTATATCAATGATGGTGGTGCTTGTTGCAGGGTCTGTATATAAATGATGGTGATTCTTGTTGCAGGGTCTGTGTATCAATGATGGTGGTGCTTGTTGCAGGGTCTGTATATCAATGATGGTCGTGCTTGCAGGGTCTGTGTATCAATGATGGTGGTGCTTGTTGCAGGGTCTGTATATCAATGATGGTCGTGCTTGTTGCAGGGTCTGTATATCAATGATGGTGATGCTTGTTGCAGGGTCTGTATATCAATGATGGTGATTCTTGTTGCAGGGTCTGTGTATCAATGATGGTGGTGCTTGTTGCAGGGTCTGTATATCAATGATGGTCGTGCTTGTTGCAGGGTCTGTGTATCAATGATGGTGGTGCTTGTTGCAGGGTATGTATATCAATGATGGTGATTCTTGTTGCAGGGTCTGTGTATCAATGATGGTGGTGCTTGTTGCAGGGTCTGTATATCAATGATGGTGGTGCTTGTTGCAGGGTCTGTATATCAATGATGGTGGTGCTTGTTGCAGGGTCTGTATATCAATGATGGTGGTGCTTGTTGCAGGGTCTGTATATCAATGATGGTGGTGCTTGTTGCAGGGTCTGTATATCAATGATGGTGGTGCTTGTTGCAGGGTCTGTATATCAATGATGGTGGTGCTTGTTGCAGGGTCTGTGTATCAATGATGGCGGTGCTTGTTGCAGGGTCTGTATATCAATGATGGTGATTCTTGTTGCAGGATCTGTATATCAATGATGGTGGTGCTTGTTACATGGTCTGTATATCAATGATGGTGGTGCTTGTTGCAGGGTCTGTGTATCAATGATGGTGGTGCTTGTTGCAGGGTCTGTATATCAATGATGGTGGTGCTTGTTGCAGGGTCTGTATATCAATGATGGTGGTGCTTGTTGCAGGGTCTGTATATAAATGATGGTGATTCTTGTTGCAGGGTCTGTGTATCAATGATGGTGGTGCTTGTTGCAGGGTCTGTATATCAATGATGGTCGTGCTTGCAGGGTCTGTGTATCAGTGATGGTGGTGCTTGTTGCAGGGTCTGTATATCAATGATGGTCGTGCTTGTTGCAGGGTCTGTATATCAATGATGGTGATGCTTGTTGCAGGGTCTGTATATCAATGATGGTGATTCTTGTTGCAGGGTCTGTGTATCAATGATGGTCGTGTGCTTGTTGCAGGGTCTGTATATCAATGATGGTCGTGCTTGTTGCAGGGTCTGTGTATCAATGATGGTGGTGCTTGTTGCAGGGTCTGTATATCAATGATGGTGATTCTTGTTGCAGGGTCTGTGTATCAATGATGGTGGTGCTTGTTGCAGGGTCTGTATATCAATGATGGTGGTGCTTGTTGCAGGGTCTGTATATCAATGATGGTGGTGCTTGTTGCAGGGTCTGTATATCATATCAATGATGGTGGTGCTTGTTGCAGGGTCTGTATATCAATGATGGTGGTGCTTGTTGCAGGGTCTGTATATCAATGATGGTGGTGCTTGTTGCAGGGTCTGTATATCAATGATGGTGGTGCTTGTTGCAGGGTCTGTGTATCAATGATGGCGGTGCTTGTTGCAGGGTCTTTATATCAATGATGGTGATTCTTGTTGCAGGATCTGTATATCAATGATGGTGGTGCTTGTTACATGGTCTGTATATCAATGATGGTGGTGCTTGTTGCAGGGTCTGTATATCAATGATGAACGTGAGGGACCAGGGGTGACAACATACAAAGATGGCACACAAGATGTTGGGCTGTGGTTTGGGGAGAAGCTCATCAAACTCTGTTCCCCCGTCCCTGGTGCTTTCACCATGAAGGACCATCAGGAGTTTGACTTTAATCCTGAAGAACATGTCCTGTTCATCGATCCACATGAACAAAGCGACTCGCACGCACCCTTCAGCAGTGTCTTGAACCCGCCATCAGAGTTCGACTACACCCCGGACAGCTCTGTGACAGACCGTGTCTCGGAAATATTCAACACATCTCTGGATCCTAGAAGCCTTGCCATTAATAAAGACTTGTTCGATGAGGAGTTCTACAAGGATGTAGACGCTGACGACAGCAACAACGTTAAAGTAACTGCCTGGAATAAAACACCGTCCATGATAAACCTACAGAGGCATGTTCACAAACATAAAGCATTTGCAAGTCGGCTTTCATTTAGTGTTCAGAAGATCATCGATGGAGATCGGAGTTCGTTTAAGAGTAAAGGGAGGCTGGAGCTGGCTTCAGAGGAGTTGCTAGGAGCTGCGGTGTCTGGGGACATGGAGAAGGTAGAGGAGCTGCTGATCAATGAAGGTGTGCATCCCGACGTGGCGGACAAAAACTGTCACACTGCACTTATTGGAGCCACGGTGAGTACTGTCAACTGTACTACAGCAAGTCTTAAAGGAGGCTAGACATAGGCAAATCGGCATGCCCAGCCAGTATGATCAAGTTATTTGCATCTGTTTTGTTTGTAATCTACTGCTCATGATGTACATCAATCGAGGAGGAAATAACATGAATACACTGGCATGTGGAACATGTTGCCTCAGCCCTTAAAAAGTCACAAAATTGGATATTTTTATGCAGTATTATGCATCCTTAATAAAAATATTCAGATTTCTGCATCCAGGAAGGTTATGAATCGGCTCTAACCCACGAGACAAGATCTATTTTGGTAACAGTAATGCTTTTCGATGTTTTGGGTAGAAGGATTTAAAAAAAAAATTGTTTTCTGTAACAGGACTCAAAACTAAACTGTAAATGGCACATTTCAATTTTACGGACATTGCATAGTGGGCACAGTCATTTTCATTAAAAGTATAGAATGTCCCACATTCAGTGTCCCACATCCTGAGAAGTACATCACTTTCAGTGGAATATTCAGTTTATGCAGGAACATAATTAAACTTTTAGTATAGACCCTTTTAGCAATAGATAAAATAAAATGATTTTTCTGCATCTATATTTCTCTTGTAACTTTAGATGATAAAGCAAACAATTTCTTTTTGATATTTCAGGTCAATTGGCACATTGATATTATCAACTTGTTATTAAATCACGGGGCGGATGTGAACAAACTGAACGATGAAGGGTGCTCTGCGTTATCTGCTGGGACTATTTTCTTCTATCCCATAGACACATTCCATTACAACATAGCTGAACGCTATCTCGAAAAACCACCAGAAGTGAAAGAAGATGCTACCAAAGATGAACAGAAACCAAAAAGCATCTTGTCAAAGAAGACTACAGCAGTTGAGCAAAAGATTAGTCAGAACAATGAACTTAACCGAGAAAAATCCCAAACGGGCAAGCTGATAGACCAGTATGGTGTAAGCAGCACTAGTATAGACAGCGGGATCCCGGCCATGGAGAGTACCCAGAGTCTTCGAGAACCCGGAGATAAGTCGCTGGTTACAATTGCTGATGCCGCAGAAAATACCACCCTCAGTGATGATGGAGACCTGTGTGATGACGAACTCAAGGACAAAGTTAAGGATGCTGATCGGGATTCGGTCATTGATAGTGACAATGAGGGCGGGGATCAGTTGGATGATGAGATTCCAGAGGATTTTGATTCCAATAAGAGTGTCAGGAACTACCAGATCGAGGTGACGGAGCAGCTTGTGGAGAGATGTGCCACCCAGCTCAGCACCAATGACAGAGTTGTGAGTCGACATTCTCTTCAGAGTGCAGGACTTGGGACTGCACGGATGATGGCTCTTCAGATATCTCTGTAAGAAGGATTTATCACTTTTTGGCATATTCATGTTGAGGGTTTGAAAATTTACTGTCCGCCACTATCCTGAGGCTGGTAATTCTTTCAGAATAAGCGATTTTATTCCTACTTGACTAAACACTTAAATTTACCACTTTTGTGTAGTTTGATGGTCAGCACAATAAACCCATTTATACTAAGGAAAAAAACGTTTTGGTGTAGATCCTAACACCAAAAACGTTTTGGTGTAGATCCTAACACCAAAAACGTTTTGGTGTAGATCCTAACACCGTTATCAAGCAAAATCCTTTGCTTGATAACAGTGTTAGGATCTACACTGAAACGTCGAAACTACTACTGCAACAAGAAGTTGTCTATCCATAACAAGTGTTCCACTTCACTTGACCATGGTAATCTGACAATTGCATATGTTCTTTTGGTGGGGAATTATCAATTTGATATCGATAATCATAAATTCATATTGATACAGTATTGAAATTTATATTTCTGATACATCATTATTATGATATCCAACAATAACACTAGCTCCAGAGCCCTTGGGGTTTTCTTCTACATATCTGATGGTTGAAATTAAGCATGAAAGTCATGTCTTCTCAGTGATAACCGTACCGTTGAAAGACCGGTCTCCTTTCAAAACCATAGTGTTGACACACCCAATCTCTAGATTCAAGTACTACAAGGGTAAATCTCAAGGACCCGAGCCCTCTTGATTTCAAACACTGCATGAATCACATGACAAATAATCCTTTAAATATTGTATATGACCCAAGAATCATGAAGAGTCTCCCATATGTTTCTTTTTACTGTAGTTGATCCATCATGGTATAGCAGTATAATTTAGTTAAACCCTCATTATATCCAAGGATATATGTTCAATGTGTACATTATTTATGCAACAAAATAAAAATAAAAATTTAAAAAATCCATTTTGTAACAGATGGCTACTTATTCAAATGTATATTTTTCATCACATTTCCTTTCTCCCTTTGCATTTTCCTTTCGAAGTCTGTATACTGCATACCATCATTGATGATCAGTGCTGACTGAATCACCCTGTAAGGGACAACATCTCTATCATAATATCTTTCAATGATCAGTTATAGACAGCATCAAATTTACAAAACAATCTTCTGGATCAAAAGAATTAACAATGGGATTAATTATTACAGCACCATGTATCTGTAACTGTGGATTAATCATTAATCTTCAAAAATGAAAAATAAGTACAATTAACTATGGTTATAAGAAATTCAAGGGACCATTAAATATCTTTGTTGTTGGAACTGCAGATTGTTATATACGCATTTCAGCTGACAATGACAGCAAGTGGTAGGGACAATAATATGTTTGATTATAATTGCTGGTAAATGTTTGAATATTGAGATATATAAATGCATAAATTTCAGTCTATGGAATTCCCCCAATAATCAGAACACCCCAATTTATTTTACCTCGTCACACAGAGGCTCAGATTTGTGTCAGAATAAGTATATCAAGAATATCTCATGCTGCAGTTGAAATTTTAGTCATAACTTGCGAAGATTAGTCTCAGATAAAACACCTTGAACATAAATTGGTATCCTAGTTTCCACAGTAGATTACTCTTTGTGTGACATCACAATCGATATCTCTACTCTGTCTGACACCCAAGCTTTTAGATCTTCTTATCACACTTCAGACACTGGTTAATGCTGTTTACAAACTGAAAGAATTAGAAGAATTATTTTCAATCATAAATTGAATCTCTCTTTTTTTTAAACATATATTAACATCCATGGATAATTGTTTACAACTGATTTTCAAGCCTCAGAATTTTAAATCATTATTTACTCATATTAATATAACCTCTTTTGGGGTATTTAGAAGTTGGAGCAGTAAGAAAGGATAGCAATATGCAGATGATCAGCTTCTTTATTGTAGTGAGAGCAACTTGCTTGATAACTGTGTTAGAACCTACACCAAAATGTCGGCTTGACTGTAATAAAGAACTTGTTCATCCATATATTGTTATCCGTCCATTGTTGATATATACTCATGCCAATAATGGTTGTCACCCCCTTCAATTTATTTAATTGGAGAGGGGTTGGGGGTGTGAGGTGTGTGTAGGGTTGCGGAGGGAAGGGGGGTGACAACCATTTGGCATGAGTATAGTTGATATGGAAAGGTAGTAAGTAGGGGGATATCCTGTATGTTACTCAGTATAGGCATGTTGGTCTAGTGCTCCAGTGTTCAGGCACTCACTCTACAATGACACAATGCCATTTACAATGTGGTCAAATGTAACGTGTTAAATTTGGGATTGCACTTTCTTAGTAAAGTACAGATTCTAGAACTTTTGCTGGGTTGAGTCCCATCCGGGATTTAGAACCCACACCCTCAGACTCATCCGCCTAATCCCCAGCACACAAAGTCAGCCGCCTAACCCGCTCAGCGACTGAATGGAAGTCAGACAACTGGACTAACTGTAGTCTAGACTACGGACTTTGTGTACCCCTCTGATAAGTGTGTGCAGGCGATTAGGTGCCTGACTCTGAGGGCGTGTGCAAATCCTAGATGGAATTCAACCCAACAAAAGTACTAGAATTTGTACTTTACTATAAAAGTGTAATCCCAAAATAATATAATAAACTCACTCTACAGAAATGCATCCTTCAGAACTCTGTTGCACCCCTTCAGGCTTGTCTCCCTCACTGGCTCACTGTAAGCAGTGTAAAACCCAGCTCCCTCACTGGCTCACTGTAAGCAGTGTTAAACCCTGAGCTCACTCACTGGCGCACTGTAAGCAGTGTAAAACCCAGCTCCCTCACTCACTCACCATTGTCTGATGATGTGTTCAGGAAGGAGAGGATGAAGGAGACCTTGGACCTGCTGCTGCGTCGCGGTGCCGACCCCAACGCCTCTGGGGTACCGATGCCGGTGCTGTTCTTTGCCATCAAGGCCGCTGATGTGGAGATGGTGAGAATCCTGCTCATGAAGGGAGCATCCACAGGAGCCAGGCTGCCGAAGGAGGTAGGAACTTGGGAGTATATACCATTCAAAATAAGTTTAGTACCACTTAGTTCTTTCATGTTACTATAGTTAATCTGCCACATCATATATAGTTCATATATAGTTCATATAGAGATCAGATAGAGATCATATATAGGTCATATAGAGATCATATATAGTTCATATAGAGATCATATATAGTCCATAGAGATCAAATATAGTTCATATATAGTTCATATAGAGATCATATATAGTTCATATAGAGATCATATATAGTTCATATAGAGATCAGATAGAGATCATATATAGTTCATATAGAGATCATATATAGTTCATATAGAGATCATATAGAGATCATATATAGTTCATATAGAGATCATATATAGTTCATATAGAGATCATATATAGTTCATATAGAGATCATATATAGTTCATATATATAGAGATCATATATAGTTCATATAGAGATCATATATAGTTCATATATAGGTCATATCGAGATCATATATAGTTCATATCGAGATCATATATAGTTCATATAGAGATCATATATAGTTCATATAGAGATCATATATAGTTCATATAGAGATCATATATAGTTCACATAGAGATCATATAGAGATCATATATAGTTCATATAGAGATGATATATAGTTCATATAGAGATCATATATAGTTCATATATAGTTCATATAGAGAGATCATATATAGTTCATATAGAGTTCATATAGAGATCATATAGAGTTCATATAGAGTTCATATAGAGATCATATAGAGTTCATATAGAGATCAGTGAAGACCCAGGTTAGAATTGGTCTTCAGCAACCCATGCTTGTCATAAGAGGTGACAAGCAGGATTGGGTGGTCAGGCTCTCTAACTTGGTTGACACATGTCACCATATCCCAGATTGTTGCTCATGCTGTTGATCACTGGATTATCTGGTCCAGACTTGATTATTTACAGAACACTGCCATATAGGAAGAATATTTCAGAGTGCAGCATTAAACAACAAACAAACAAATAAACATATAGGTAATAACAGATATAGTACAGTAATCTGAAAGAATTATTAAAGGTAGTCCAGACTTTTTAAATGCTTGATACATGTCTTTTGACCAGTCAGTGTGGATCCTCAGGGGTGAAAATAACCAATTGCCCGACGTCCGAGTCCAGTGCTTTTTTCTGTCAGGCTAAGCAAATTTGTATATCATGCCGTACCGGTGTCCAGTTGACTTTCCAAATGTTAATAATGTTGTTTATTTAAAAAATTAACAAGAAAACGGACGGTATAGTGGAAAAATGATCAGGGCAAATGATTTTACATATGCCACTGTACCGGAGTACACTTGCAATTTAAAGTTATTTCCACCCCTGATCTTGATCATACAATCAATCACAGGATGATCTGGTCCAGTCTCTATTATGTACAGCCCACCATCATACCTGGGATACTGCTGAGTCAGGCGTTAAACATCAAATGCACTTATAATCTATATAGCCATAGCATGATAGGCAATATTTTACAATCAGAAATTGCCCTAAAGACACCTTTCATCATGAAAACTTGAGTACTCAGCCTTAAAAGCAGGTGTATCTTGACATCCACTGAAAGATCTCTCACATCTAATCAGTGTAGATTTCCAAATTGCAATATTGGCATCAGCTTACCAGATACTCATTTCATGCCATCCAGCATGCTGGCATCCGGCATACCACTTAACAGGGCTCAGCATCCAGTATACCAAACTGGTCACAATGAAGTAGTCCCAACATTCAGAGCAGCAAGCTCAAGGACACCACTTGATTTTGATTACTTCTTAAAGATTGAGCTGACAGGTGCTTGCACACTGGTCACATGTTGAGGACAAGGTTTGGAGATTGAAAACAAAGCATAATCAGAGGGATGCCTTTCAGGGCCCTGTGTCACAAAGCTTTCATAGCGCTACGACTGTCGTAAGTCTATGTTACAGTGTAGGATGTACGACAGTCGTAGCACTACAATAGCTTTGTGAAACAGGGTCCTGATGTATGGTTTGTTTTGAATGATAATATTATGACCATCCATGATTATATCCAGTAAGTACAGTTGCCCATTGACTTCAATAAATCATAAGAGAATATTTATATAATACACTTGCAGATAGTGGTGTAATGTGTGTATTCCAGAAAGGCAGTCTTGCTCCCCTTCATATAGCCTGTGCAATCCCTGGGGAGGACGGAGTGCAGATCACAGAGCTGTTGCTGAACGCACTCGCTGACCCGGACGTCCGTGCGGAGGAGGATGACTCCTTCCTCAACAGGATCTTGGTGAGACTCACTCACTCACTCACTCACTCACTCACTCACTCACTCACTCACTCACTCACTCACTCACTCACTCACTCACTCACTCACTCACTCACTCACTCACTCACTCACTCACTCACTCACTCACTCACTCACTCACTCATTCACTCACTCAAAAATGGTAAAAGTCTTATATCTGCATCAGTTTGGGATTTCCACCACATAAGCTGATACCGTGGTATAACTTGAACACTGTTCGGTATTAAGCCCTACTCACTTACTCACTCACCCACCCAGAATATTGTCACTATCGAATGTCTTAAAACAGGCCTGTCTCAATACTTGAGTCCCATATACTGTCAGTGTTTTCAGACTGATAACCAATCCACACTTGTCTAAAGCTGTCTAAAGCGCCAGGCTAGTGATCCAGCGAGCTTGAGGTGCCGGGATCGAGCCCACTTGTGACCGGGTGTAAAAACCTTGGAGTCAACTTCGTGTGCAGACTCTTTCAGTGTTAAGCCTAGTGGCTACAAGAGTTCCCCAGGGAGTTGAGATTGTTAATACGATGTGCCATTGAGATTTAAACATCCAGTGATCGAGGGAAAATCAAAGTACCTTTGAGCAGCTGAGCTGGACATCGGCGCTGTACAAATGTTAGTATGTATGTATGTATGTTAAAATAAACACAGAATCTCTACTGACACATAACAATAGCACAATGAATGAACATATCAAATGTAGGTAAATCTGTAAGTTACCCTGATGTCTCCAGGAGGATGAGTGGAGTAAAGATGTCCTGTCAGATGAAAGTAAAGCTCTCCTGGGTGGGAGGACACCATTACAGATTGCCTGTGCCAGAGATGACAACTACAAGGTGAGAGTCGGACAAATACACAGCAGCAACACAAGCTATGTTGACCAGATTCCATCACCATTACCATCTTTGTTTCATTTCAATTTTATGTAATATTGGATATATTAGTTATATTTATTAAGTAGAGATTCAGTTTTGAAATATTTTAGAAATAAAAGGTCCATGAATAATGGTCACAGAGTGACTAAGAAGCAAGAGATGGGATTCTAGAATAGCCAGTTCTCAGTACAGGGCTCCAGATAACTTTTGGGGGTGTGAGTGTACTTACGCATCATATTGCAAGTGAAGGTGTACTGAGAATTTTGAAGGAGTACCGACATGTTTTTTTGTGAGCGAGTTGATGTGGTTTGTCTGGACGATTCATCGATCACTATTTCCAACCATGTATTTGTATTTGTGTGTAGAGTGGTCTGATATTGTTACTTCAGCATGTGTGTAGAGTGGTCTGATATTGTTACTTCAGCATGTGTGTAGAGTAGTCTGATATTGTTACTTCAGCGTGTGTAGAGTGGTCTGATATTGTTACTTCAGCGTGTGTAGAGTGGTCTGATATTGTTACTTCAGCGTGTGTAGAGTGGTCTGATATTGTTACTTCAGCATGTGTGTAGAGTGGTCTGATATTGTTGCTTCAGCATGTGTGTAGAGTAGTCTGATATTGTTACTTCAGCGTGTGTAGAGTGGTCTGATATTGTTACTTCAGCGTGTGTAGAGTGGTCTGATATTGTTACTTCAGCGTGTGTAGAGTGGTCTGATATTGTTACTTCAGCATGTGTGTAGAGTGGTCTGATATTGTTACTTCAGCATGTGTAGAGTAGTCTGATATTGTTACTTCAGCGTGTGTAGAGTGGTCTGATATTGTTACTTCAGCATGTGTGTAGAGTGGTCTGATATTGTTGCTTCAGCATGTGTGTAGAGTAGTCTGATATTGTTACTTCAGCGTGTGTAGAGTGGTCTGATATTGTTACTTCAGCGTGTGTAGAGTGGTCTGATATTGTTACTTCAGCATGTGTGTAGAGTGGTCTGATATTGTTGCTTTAGCATGTGTGTAGAGTAGTCTGATATTGTTACTTCAGCATGTGTAGAGTGGTCTGATATTGTTACTTCAGCATGTGTGTAGAGTGGTCTGATATCGTACTTCAGCATGTGTGTAGAGTGGTCTGATATTGTTACTTCAGCATGTGTGTAGAGTAGTCTGATATTGTTACTTCAGCATGTGTGTAGAGTGGTCTGATATTGTTACTTCAGCATTTTTAGAGTGGTCTGATATTGTTACTTCAGCATGTGTGTAGAGTGGTCTGATATTGTTACTTCAGCATGTGTGTAGAGTGGTCTGATATCGTACTTCAACATGTGCGTAGAGTGGTCTGATATTGTTACTTCAGCATGTGTGTAGAGTGGTCTGATATTGTTACTTCAGCATGTGTGTAGAGTAGTCTGATATTGTTACTTCAGCATGTGTGTAGAGTGGTCTGATATTGTTACTTCAGCATTTTTAGAGTGGTCTGATATTGTTACTTCAGCATGTGTAGAGTGGTCTGATATTGTTACTTCAGCATGTGTGTAGAGTGGTCTGATATCGTACTTCAACATGTGCGTAGAGTGGTCTGATATTGTTACTTCAGCATGTGTGTAGAGTGGTCTGATATTGTTACTTCAGCATGTGTGTAGAGTGGTCTGATATTGTTACTTCAGCATGTGTGTAGAGTGGTCTGATATTGTTACTTCAGCATGTGTGTAGAGTGGTCTGATATTGTTACTTCAGCATGTGTAGAGTGGTCTGATATTGTCACTTCAGCATGTGTGTAGAGTGGTCTGATATTGTTACTTCAGCATGTGTGTAGAGTTGCCCGTCTTCTACTGGAACACAAGGCCAACCCCAGTCTCCTGTGCAATGGATTCTCTCCCCTTGCCCTGGCCATTACCAGCGGGAACGATCATGTAAGTACCGTCAAGCTTCATCACATTACCATTATTCCATGTGTATCAACTTTGTTCTCCATAATGTACGTTGCAGTGTAGGTATTGCACGGATATAACTGATAGGTTACGATTTGCTCTTCGCAGGCTATTGATGAGCTGTTGCTGTATGGAGCTGACCCCAGCCTCCCTCTGACACATGGTGTTGGTAACGCCCTCTGTGTTGCCACTTCCACAGAACATGAACACAGGCGGACAATAACTGGAAGACTTCAGCTTGTAAGTTTACAGAGAAGTAATGAACAGACGATACACTATTTAATACTGTTTGTGGGATAACTGTTGATATGAACTGACCATGATAACACAATTCATATGTACTGACTGTGAATGTTTTTCTGTTTAACCCATGTATCATTGTTTAACCCAAGTATTGCTGTTTAATCCATACATGATGTTTGAGCAATATATCACTGTTTATACGTGGATGTATTTCTGTTTAATCCATGTATCATTGTTTAACCCAAGTATTGCTGTTTAATCCATATATGATATTTGAGCAATATATCACTGTTTATACGTGGATGTATTCTGTTCCCAGGTGGACAAACTGATTAAGGCTGGCGCCAACATCCTTGCTCCCATTCTGATCGGCCCCAAGAGAATCCAGGGAACGGCAGTGGACTATGCCTACTATATGTTCAACCAGGTGAGAGCAGAGGGTCACAGTATGCATGCTACATCTTTGTCTCTGTTTCTCCACAGACTTGCATGGACACACTGCTGGGAGACACAGTAGTCTGTGTGACAGTCCCTCAACCTTATCATTTTGCCTTCCACCCAGCCCTTTCTGGAATGCTGTAGCCCTAAATTAAGCCATTCACCATCATCTGCATGTCAACAAGGTCTTCGTTTTGTGTGCTTGTACTGTTACCAAGTACCTCCAACAGGAGAACATTATACCATGTCCAGACTTGTAACCTATGTCTGGGACATCTTTGGATGGGACATACGTCACCGTCAACTTAATACCACTCCAAATGAACTTTTTTTATTTATTTTTTTTAAGTATTTTTATTTCCCAAAGTACATTTGGTGTTTTAATAATACATTGTACAAAACATCATACACAACATCCTCGTCATCAATTTGGTGTCGTCATAATACATTGTACAAAACATCGTACACAACATCCTCGTCATCAATTTGGTGTTGTCATAATGCATTGTACAAAACGTCATACAAATCAGCTTCGTTATCAATTTGTTTTTGTCATAATACATTGCACAGAACATCATACAAAAACATCCTCATCATCAACATTGTGCAAGCATCATCATCACCATCAATACAAATAATCATCATCATATGTTCAGGGTGGATTTACTATAATGAATCTGTTATCCTTGCCCAAGGCTAATATGTATACAAATATTGAGATGTACCTCCAACAGGAGAACATAGCCATGGCCGGCACTCTGTCCAGACTTGTAACCTATGTCTGGGATATCTTTGGATGGGACATACGTCACCGTCAACTACTACCACTCAAAACGAACTTGATGTAGCACTACAGTGAGATGGGAATAAATGAACCAAGTTGACTGTGGACATTTGATCAGGAGTGTGCCTTGTTGAAATTGGGATTGTCTTGAGAATGGAGGTGGATTCACACAATTTTTATAAGTTTGACTTTTCATGGTAAATGACGTGATGGACAGAAGGGCACTTCAGCCAATCATCTAACAAAACCTATGGTCATCTGATGCTCAACAAATAAATCAGATGTGCCTGTGACACTGTTCAACTATTTATCTTGTTAGAAATAGCAATAGTTATGATACCTTTTAATTGAAAATCCCCTACTTTTTTAATAGTATACTTGTCACAAAAAAAGTTCATCTGCTGTGTCCAGAGGATTTTTTGGCTTCAGATCCAATTTAGCATGTTTTTTTCTATCAATCTGATTGCAACACGCACTTGTTTTATGTTCTGTATAATCTGGAGTGCATGTGAGTCACTGTTCCATGCATGTGAGTCACTGTTCCATGCATGTCACTGTTCTGTTGTGCCAGGACCGACGTATTGCACACATGCCGTACCATGCACTGAGCCACGCGGAGAGGGAGACCTACAACGCCCTCAAGAAACTGCTGGCCCACATCGGGGACATCATGAGGGGCAAGGCTGTGGAGCGGGAACGCCGACGCCTCGAGGAGGAGTTCAGGGAGGGGCAGAGGAGTGAGTTATGCCTGTGGGAGGAAGTTGGTTAACCTGGTGGAGTTATCTGAGTGGGGCTGGTGATCGGATAGGTGTGGGGAGGGTTTGTCAGTGGGATTGGAGTTGTCAGCGTGAAGGAGTGTTGGCCATTAGGGAAGGGTTGGTCAGTTGGTCAGTGTGGACAGTTGGGCGGCTTGTGGGAGAGTTGCTTGGTACTCGAGCTGGTCTTTATGTGGGAGAACTATTCTAAAGGGATGGGTTGGTCAGATGGAGAGTGTTGGTCAGTGGTGGAATGTTGGTTAGTTTGGGTGAGTTGATCAGTTAGTGGTGAGTTGATCATTTGGGGGTGAGTTGGTCAGTTGGAGTGAAGTGGTCATTTAGGGTGAGTCAGTCAGTTGGTGAGCTGATCAATTGGATGAGTTGGTTAGTTTAGATGAGTTGGTTGGTTTGGGTGAGTTGTGGTCAGATGGGATGATTTGGTTACTTAGGGTGAATTGGTCGGTAGAGGAAGAGTTGGTGAGTTTGGGTGAGTTGGTCAATTGGGATGTGTCAGTAAGTTGGGGTGAGCTGATCAATTGGATGACTTGGATAGTTCAGATGAGTTAGTTAGCTTGGGTGAGTTGGTTGGGTGACGTGCGTTGGTCAGTTGGGATGCCTTGGTCAGTTGGGTTGTGTTGGTCAGCTAGACAGCTGGTCAGTTGGTGAGGGGCTATATCAGTTCACCTCACTTCATACTATATTTACTGGATAAGATTATTAAGGTCTACACTGAAACTCAAATGGATCGTCTATACTATCCTGTCATGGTCAACTTCTATAATCACCATGGAAACCAGCTATACAACACAATGACATAAATGGATCTCACCACAGAGGAGTTACACTGACCGATGTTATTTCTTCCTGACAGGTGCCAGCCCCAGCCAAGGGTTTGTGTACGTGGGGGCAGGTGCCCCTCTTCCCCCGGGACTCAAGTCCAAGATGGCCTCCAAGGTGGGTCAGGTGACGTTTGACCGGAGCGTGACAGACCAGAAGAGTGGACTGGTTCAGCAGGAGAGCGAGATGAGCATTGGACTGAGGTGAGACATCACTCTCTGCTGTTCTTCTTGTCATCCAGCAACACGTTACAGTAGATGACTATTGTTTGGTTAAAGGAGTACGAACAACCTCCCAACATTCTTGTTATTCTCCATGGCCGAGTCCAGTGGTATTTAAATCCTGTTGAATATAATGTTTAGATAGTTGTTCCTTATTTTCAAGTCTTTAAGATGTGGTCAGATGTGTGTTTTAACAATCTGACCCAAATCCAGCTGATCCCTAATGAGTCAGCAATGACCCTTGGGACTTCATGTGAACCATCTGAAGATCCTGGTTAGAATCAATTCTTCACCATCCCATCCTTGTTGTAAGAGGTAACAAATGGGATTGGATAGACAGGCACTCCAACTTTTCATCGTGTGTCAATTGAGTTGATTGATGCTCATGAAGTCATTGACTGGATTGTCTGGTCCAGACTCCTTCTGTTACAGACTGCCAATAGCTGGAATATTGCTGGGTGTGACGTGACCCTCTGTGTGTCCAGTTTTCTTTTATAGTCCGTTTGGCTCAAAAGCGGACTGATGAATTGCAATCTAACTCGAAAACTAATAAACATAAAATACTCAATGAAACGCTGATCATAATCAAAACATCATACCAACTCTGTGAGGTTTTTCGAGAACGGATAGAGACGGCACAGCAGAGGTTAATGAATAAATAACTTTGTCTGTGACGTGCTTCTCGAACACCTGGCTGTCCCTTTCTCTGCACTCCTCCCTCGTAACAAACAGTGAACTGTGTCAATATTTTAATGATAGTTTGTTAAACAACTTTATTATTTTTAGGACAAAAATTCTGCAAAAACCTCACAGAGTTGGTATGATGTTTAGATTATGATGAGCGTTTTATTGAGTATGTTATGTTTATTAGTTTTTGAGTTAGATTGCAATTCATCGGTCCGCTTTTGAGCCAAACGGACTATACATTGTTGCCAGGTTAAATGTTTGTGATCATGCCCTATAGCATCACACTATCTACCACTGGCTGAGGCATTATGACTCAGGATATGATAAAATTGATATAAACACTTCATGGCAGAAATACTGCTGACAGAAGCTATAATATATTCACTCTCATCCACTCCCAAATCAGAAACCCATTTTGAATATTGCTGAATCTTGCTCTATTTTTAGTGAAGAAATGTGTGCTGAATGACATCTATCTTTAGAAGCAGTGATGATTAATCTCTTGTGATGTGATCCTTGCTTTCTATCTATTTTGTTCTCAATTTGCATCATTTTGAATGGTTATGGAATATTTACATATTTTGCATACTTTCATATTGCATTACAATACTATATGGTGTGGTTTCTCTATGTTACAAGGTGTGCCTCAAGATCACGAGTTGAATACATAGCGAACTCATCTTACATCTTAAGCACAAACTAACTGGTTACTACTGACATCTATTTATCATTCAGTTAGGGCTGGTCTGTGAGATAGGGCAGGTAACCAGATCCTCAGGCTAGTCATGAAGATCCAGTGTCTGGATCCTTATGACACATATCCACACGTCGCCAGACACGTGTTTGTTAGTATAAGGCCACAATTAGGCCACATATTTTACATGGTGTACAAGTCTGTTGACAAAAACATCCTGAAATTATACAACAAAATAGAACTATCGAACATGTATATAAGAGATTGCAGTCCTCTGAGTGACGTCATCAGTCAAGTGCCAAGTTCTGATCAGGAAAGAAACGAAACAGAATAATATTTGACACAAAACAACTTCCATTTAATAACTATAATGTCTCAAAGATTTCAATTGGAACACTCATTAGAGATCACATCATCTTTCATATGTTCGGAAAATTAGTGAAGTTAAAGAATCTGGACCTGATTTCACAAAATAAACTTAAGTTTTCACTCAAATTTCAAACTGAGTTTGACCATTTGAAACGGCTGAGTTTCTAACTCAGTTGCAATTCTGAAACCAAAAAGACAAAACAACTCATGTAACCTGTCTACCTAACTCAGATTGTCCACAGATTGTTTAATATCCATTTCAGTTTATACTGGGAAATGCATCCTCCTTCTCTTTATCAAATTTGAGTAAAAATTGTAACTTAAGTCAAAAGTCAGACTTAAAGTTTGTTTTGAGAAAACGGGGCCTACGGCCATGACATATTGGATCCTGGAGTGCAATACTCCATTCTCCTGAGCATGCCATATTGCACGGCTGTATAGCTATTGTGAAGTTGGTATGTAATACTATTGCTGACTGTGGCACATGATTTGTTTACTAACCTTGAAGGTTTATTACATCGGACAGCTTGTTGTTGTTGACTAGATCAAAGAGTGGGGTGTCAACAGTGTTTGTCTCCGAGACACACCAAGAACTTAAACGCCTCAGTCGGTCTCGAGGTCGATCTCAGAGTCGATCTCCTGTCAGGTTTGCTGATGTCTTTCACCCTGTATCTCCTCCTTGCTATGGTGTAGATCAGTGACCTAGAGGGAGATAGGGCAAACATGGGGAGAGATAGCCATTATACTCATCAAATCATATAAGCGAACACACTCAATTCTAATACAACAAGACTCTCATTGAGTTACTACGTTGATCTGTTATGTTTAGCATCTTTACAATTGTCTTTAATAAATGTTGATTTTCCCTTGTTAATTTCTTCAGAATGATAGTGTCAAAGCAAGGGTTTTTTAAAAATAATTTCATAAGACCATTATGGTTATGGGTACCTTTTTTCCCACTGTCTTGATATAAAACAAATAATTTCTTGATGTTCATTGGTTTTTTTGTTTGTTTATTTGTTATTTTTATGCCACTCTTAGCAATATTCCAGCTAGTGCATTTGTGAAAATAATTATCAGTAGTGCTATCATGTGACGCCTTCTTAAACTACATTTGTTTGTTTGTTTGTTTGTTTAATGCCACACTTAGCACACAAAGTCTCCCTAAGCTAAAACAGGTCATCAGCAACCCATGCTTGTGATAAGAGTTTATTTATCAGATGACCAGACTGGTTGCTGCATGTCATTGCATCCCCATTGTGTTGATCAATGCTCATGATATCAATCATCAGATTATCCGGTTCATACTCAAGAACTTACACACCTCTGTGATTTATTAAGAATATTTCTGAGTGTGGTGTTCAACAACAGCAACAACAACAACTAAAAACAGCCAGTTGTGCTGTGGGATACATAGGGAAATATTCCTGATGCTCATGATTAAACTACCTGTGAAGATCTGGATTAGAATTCTTCAGCAACCCATGCTTGTTGTACGAGGCGGTTAACGGATTCGGGTGGTCAGGCTCACTGATGTAGTTGACTCTTGTTATCGTATTCCAATGGCATAGATCGATGCTCGTGGTGTCAATCACTGGATTGTCTGGTCCAGACTTTAATACTTACAAACCGCCATCATATAGCTGGAATATTGCCGAGTGCAGCAATAAACAAACAAACATGATTAAGACTGAAGACAAGAGATCCTTGTGATAACATTACAATAATTACAATTAATTATATAGGTGGTCGCCAGTATACTTTCATGGAGCACCTTGTGTTCAATCACACGTTCAGATTACTAGTTGTGTTTACATGTACTATTTTCCTGATAGCTGATCTCTCCTCATGTCAGGCTGGAACAGTCCTCCTCAAAGTGAAACCTGCTGTAACTTGGCATCCATAAGATGCCAGCATGTATTAGAGATCCAGGTCGTATTCTGTTTTCAAGCTGGTATAATGGCATCTCACTTATAAATACCAAACTTGTATCATACATAGAGTCTAGGAAATGGTCATTGATATACTTTGAAACGCTGGTATTTTACAATGTACCTGGTGTCTAATATAGGTTGGCTTCTATCATATTGGTCTGAGCCTATAACTAGACATTATTTAGGGCCAGTGAGTATTCCCTACTTCTAATACAGGAAATACTTTAGCGTTATGTGTTTGAGTCCCAGTATGTTTTACTTTGAGGAGGTTGCGGGTATATTAGTCTGCTTACTGTTAGTTATATACTGAGGGACAAAAATAAGGGATCACATGAAAGCACAAGTGTTGCTTTATTCCCAGGTTTCTTCACAAGCTTTGTATCGCACAACTCATGAAGAAACCTGAAAAAAAATAAAGAAACACTTGTGCTTTCATGTGATCCCTTATTTATTTCCTTCAGTATATATTGGTTGTAAACCTTGGTGTTACAATACTGGGGATGATGTCACCCAGTGACAGGTATCACTCCTAACATATTCTTACCAACTTATGCAAATGGCTAATCATTAATTGATTAATAATCAGTAGATTTTAACAATTTCTTTTCAGAATAAAATATATTTAAACAGGCTAATACTGATAAAGCTCTCTGATATTATAATAATTTTATTAACATTGACATATGAGTAAGTATATGGTTCTGGGTTGGTAAGGCAAATTGTTGTCAAGGCAGATATTTTATCAGTTACAGTATATGCTTGCTTGGTGTATTCAGCAAGTGATAGAAAATAGCTGAGTTGTAGTAGACTTGCTAATGCCTGAAACAAATATAGCTTTTTATACTGTGTTCATGGTCATATAATGGCAATAGTTTAGAATATGTAATAATCATACCATTGATAACTGGTCATGTGCTTTAAGTTTAAGGTAACTGTGGCTTTGCCTTGAAACGTCATCTATGATCATTATTATGTTGGAAGCAGGTGCATGTGAATGACATATTATCACAACTGAAAATGTAAAATATTTGGTAATTTCAAGGGAGATCACTCACGTTCCCACTTTCAGGTATTACTGAGAGGATGTGCAGCTTTTTCACATACAGTCTCATTATATAGGCTTCTACTTTGATACAGTGTCTCATTTTCCTGATGGCTTTTATCAGTAAATGTTTGAAGCCTGAGAAAACTTCGACCATTGGTGTTAATAATTCATGCATGGGTTCTTGAGGAAATCAGATGATGGGTTTCTAAAATGATACAGTTTCATTGCTTACCACTTTAAGTGGAAATAGCAAACTGTGCTAAAGTAAACAAACTGTGCTAAAGTACACAATCACAATAACCAAAAACACTCATGGTATGCCATGGCACTTAAAACGACAAAATATGTAAACTATCCACATAGATGTAGCTGTGAGGGTGTAGTTTTTTGCATGCTTCAGATATTATTTACTATTAAGATAGAAAATCAGATTTACTGTTCTGAGTGCATCTCTCACTCATACCCAAAATTTACGAACCTAGATACTTTATGCAATTGGCCTAAGGTTAGTCTAGAATACTGACCAATCCATCTAAACCACAGGCTGTTTCCTCCACAAAAATTCAATATTTAACATATTTTTAACATTCACACAAATGCAATCATTAAAATGAACCTGTAAATGAGCAAAAAGGTAGCAAATCAAAAGTTAAATAAATGATTTACACATTTTCATATTACCTCTTTGTAATGATATGAAATTTTGTATTTTATTGCAATCTTTAAATCTTTTCATTATTAGCTATTTATATTTAAGATTGTTATTATCATATGGTGGAACTGGAATGGCATTACTAAGTATAATGATATTAATCACAAGTTGTCCGTGTGATTTACAGAAAACCTTTGCTGAAATATTGCTATGAGTGTGGTCGGTCAGTCGGTGTCCGTCTCTCGGCCTGTACACGATGCAAGGAGGTGTACTACTGTAGCAAGGCCTGCAAACTCAAGGCCTGGAACGCTCGTCACAAGGAGGAGTGTATTAGAGTGGGAGGTGAGTGTCTACCTGTACCAGGTGTATTAGAGTGGGTGGTGAGTGTCTACCTGTACCAGGTGTATTAGAGCAGGAGGTGAGTGTCTACCTGTACCAGGTGTAAGGAGGACAGTATTAGAGAGGTAGGTGAGTGTCTACCTGTACCAGGTGTATTAGAGTGGGAGGTTAGCATCTACCTGTACCAGGTGTATTAGAGTGGGTGGTGAGTGTCTACCTGTACCAGGTGTATTAGAGCGGGAGGTGAGTGTCTACCTGTACCAGGTGTATTAGAGCGGGAGGTGAGTGTCTACCTGTACCAGGTGTATTAGAGTGGAAGGTGAGTGTCTACCTGTACCAGGTGTATTAGAGTAGGAGGTGAGTGTCTACCTGTACCAGGTGTATTAGAGCGGGAGGTGAGTGTCTACCTGTACCAGGTGTATTAGAGCGGAAGATGAGTGTCTACCTGTACCAGGTGTATTAGAGTAGGAGGTGAGTGTCAACCTGTACCAGGTGTATTAGAGTGGGTGGTGAGCGTCTACCTGTACCAGGTGTATTAGAGTGGGAGGTGAGTGTCTACCTGTACCAGGTGTATTAGAGTGGGTGGTGAGTGTCTACCTGTACCAGGTGTATTAGAGCGGGAGGTGAGTGTCTACCTGTACCAGGTGTATTAGAGCGGGAGGTGAGTGTCTACCTGTACCAGGTGTATTAGAGTAGGAGGTGAGTGTCTACCTGTACCAGGTGTGGGAGGTGGCGAGTACCAGGTGGTGAGCGTCTACCTGTACCAGGTGTATTAGAGTGGGTGGTGAGTGTCTACCTGTACCAGGTGTATTGGAGCAGGAGGTGAGCGTCTGCCTGTACCAGGTGTATTAGAGTCGGAGGTGAGCGTCTACCCGACTAGGTGTATTAAAGTGGGAGGTAATTGTCTACCTGTACCAGGTGTATTAGAGTGGGTGGTGAGTGTCTACCTGTACCAGGTGTATTAGAGCGGGAGGTGAGTGTCTACCTGTACCAGGTGTATTAGAGCGGGAGGTGAGTGTCTACCTGTACCAGGTGTATTAGAGCGGGAGGTGAGTGTCTACCTGTACCAGGTGTATTAGAGTGGGAGGTGAGTGTCTACCTGTACCAGGTGTATTAGAGTGGGAGGTGAGTGTCTACCTGTACCAGGTGTATTAGGTGTATTAGAGCCGGGGAGGTGAGTGTCTACCTGTACCAGGTGTATTAGAGTAGGAGGTGAGTGTCTACCTGTACCAGGTGTATTAGAGCGGGAGGTGAGTGTCTACCTGTACCAGGCGTATTAGAGCGGGAGGTGAGTGTCTACCTGTACCAGGTGTATTAGAGTGGGAGGTAATTGTCTACCTGTACCAGGTGTATTAGAGTAGGAGGTGAGTGTCTACCTGTACCAGGCGTATTAGAGCGGGAGGTGAGTGTCTACCTGTACCAGGTGTATTAGAGTAGGAGGTGAGTGTCTACCTGTACCAGGTGTATTAGAGCGGGAGGTGAGTGTCTACCTGTACCAGGCGTATTAGAGCGGGAGGTGAGTGTCTACCTGTACCAGGTGTATTAGAGTGGGAGGTGAGCTTCTACCTGTACCAGGTGTATTAGAGTGGGAGGTGAGTGTCTACCTGTACCAGGTGTATTAGAGTGGGAGGTGAGTGTCTACCTGTACCAGGTGTATTAGAGTAGGTCTGTTGGCATGAAATTTGGTGTAGCCATTATACAGAATTTTATTTCGTTCTACACAATTGGTAACACCACCTCGAGAATTTTGTTATATAAACTGAAGCATTTAGGAAATTGCTATATCCACGTTCTTTATAACAATGCTATCACCAGTTTGTATTTTTCTTGTACACAAGGAAGTTGTTCTTTGTTCAGGTGACCGCCTCCGTGGTGTAGTGGTTAGAGCATCCGCCCGGAGAGCGGAAGGTCGCGGGTTTGATCCCTGACCGCGTCATACCAAAAGACGTTAAAATATGGTACTTGTTGGTCCCTGCCTGGCACTCGGCATTAATGGGTACAACAAGAACTGGTCGGCTCGGAGTCAGTATAATGTGTCTGAGTGGGATATTCATGCTTCACTGCGGCATGGTATCTCAGTGGGCTAGCACTATAAAACCAGCTTAAGTCTGGGCTAGTACAAGCTGCCGCACATACACATACACACGCATGCACGTTGTCATATGAGCGAAATATTCTCAAGCACGCCGTAAAACCCAATTTCACCTCACCTTACCTCACCTCACCTCACCTCACCTCACCTCACCTCACCTCACCTCTTTGTTCAGGTCGGTCCCGCAGCCCGAGCCCCTCCCAGAAGAAGAACCGAATTGACAGTCCTACCCCAACCACCACGGCAGACCGTGGACGCAAGACAACGGTCAATGAATTGACCAAAGACAAGCATTCACAGAAAGTGGTGGTGAGTGATTCATTAACTCAATCGGTCTAGTCCTCTGTCACATCTTGTGTTACACCAGTAAGAGGAAGTCCCTCTCAACATGGAGTGACAATTCTCACATGTCAGTTATCACCAACTGCTATAACTGTAATCCTCCATCACACAGTGTGGGTGGCTATGTTTGTGTCTTCCACACAACTTCTTGCATGATGTTGATTTTAGGATCATTTAAGATAATCAATATACTGTGTAAGACCATCTATAATATAGCTCTTGTACCTAGAATGAGGGAGTCATAATACTATGTACAATGTAGAAGATTAGATGGTTTTATTACTTCATAAAGAAACTTGAATTCAAGAGCAAAATCTGGTGTCGCACCATGTCAAAACAAAATGGTGTCGTGTATTTTGGAGTTGTTTTATAGTTTTATTACTTCACAAGCAAACTTTATTTCTATGCAAAATCTGGTGTCACACCATGTCAAACCAAAATGGTGTCGTGTATTGGAGTTGTTCATGTGACAAGCATCACAGATAAAGTCAACAGAACACATATGACTCTGTGTAATCTTCCAGCATTATTCCTGGTCAAAGGCAGAATAGACGGGTATATTAGCATTGATATTGAATGTTTCCACAGGGTGACACATTATACGCAGGGGCGTACTATAGATGGTGATATACAGTATGTAGATATGTTATAATTTCTATTAAGAAGAGAAATTATCAAGAAAATCATTTCAAACAAATGAAAAGCTGATGTGCTTAATGTGCTTGAATATGTATATATACCAACGTATGTGCCACTCATCATTGAAAGGGTCATAAAAACATGATCAGTACTGGATTATGGACTAAAAGTTCTATTATTCTATTCTTTTGGATGGATTGAGTAACACGCTTGATAGAGGAACTGTCCACTACACTGAAATGTCCTGCAAAGAAAACAAGAATATTTTATCTGTAGGTCACTCCTTATGTAATCCTAATTGATGGTGCAACTTTTAATGTCCACAATCAAGTGGTAATATTAGTAATTATGACAATTAACATGAATTAAAAAGTTTAAATTTCCACTTTTAAGTTTTAGTTTGACATGCTGCTGTCTGACATTTGCTGCAGACTTAGAGCAACATCCCTGTATCCCTATCAATTGATGAGTAGCATATATGATCTCTTTCCACATATTGTATTGTCTATGTTATTCCATCAATTTCAGAGTCTTCCAATATATCTTCTGGTGAATGTTTTCTCTCTGTGATTGGCTAATTCTCTACTTGTAGTATATCAGCTATTTTGATTGCTTGTGTGAAAACATATATATCATATATCCAGTATTCTAAAACAAGAGAGTGTTAACTTGAATAGGACAACGGACATGTTTGAAAGGTAATGAATATTTCAAGGAACTGGAACATAGCAGTAATTTGGGTGAGGTCTTCAATTTAAAATTTGGGAAATGGAATTTGTCAAGGCTGATAAAGAGTTCTGTTAGGTCAGGTTGGTGCTTTAATTGCCGGAAGATAATAAGTGTTGTGGTTGGTTTGTTTTTTGTCAGTTCATTATTCCCTGAGGCAGTTAACTCTCAGCAGCACCCATAGAACAGTGAGCTCTTAGGTTTCTCTTCGTCAACATTTTCCAGATAATTCAATACAGTATTCTATTTCTAGTTTGCTATTTCCTGTTTGGGATAGCTTTTGAAAAATGTATTTAATTTTGAATCTGGAGTTTCTCTTCATCAGTATATTCCAGATAATTCAATATTTGAAAATATGCATATTTTTTAGAGTCGACTATTTCCTGTTTGGGATGGCTTTTGAAAAATAAACTCAATTTGGAAATTTATTTCGTAGGAACACGTTCAAATTTCTGATTTCATTTAAACAGGTGGTGTAAATCATGAAAAAATATATCCTATGGCTTAACTCTAGCACAGACCTTTTAGCTGGGTCACTGTGACATACAGGTACACTTGCACTGGGTCTGACCTTTATATTATCATTTAGAGGGGGTGGGAAGAGGAAGTTCTATTTTTTAAATATAAAATATTGATGTGAGCATTTTTTAGGGACTGGTAATTTCTTACAGGGAATTTCTTATGTGGGGCAATGAAAAAATGTTTCATTTATTGGTAGAATTAAGTCTGCCCGCATGCTAGATTAAGCATGAACATAATGAGGAAGGTTTATTCAATTTAATGTCACAAAGTTTGCAATAAAATCTAACTTTTTATCCTGAACTTGGCAACAATGTAGCAAGATGTCTGTGCGGACAGCATCTGTGTTGTAAGTATGCCAGCTAAACAGAGTAGTGTAATCAACAGCTGGAGACAGCCATTGGAGGATGTTGTTTATCCGTTGAACCTAGAAACTAGTCGCATACCCTGGTCCTAGTATAACACCTCAGTTTGATGTAACATTTTCTGTGTGGTTGTGTCTCATATAATAACATACATTGTTAGTTGCTGTTGGCAACCAGTGCTATCTGATTTACAGGATTTATCTCTCAGGATAGGGATGATCTAGGGAACTTTTGGCCACATTTTGATATCAGTTTAGATTTTGATATTGTTTTATAAACAAAGTCCATTATAATAAATCGTGATGTCATACATACACATATGGTCTGGCTACTTAATAGTTTTGTGGGTGGAGTTTAATGTTTTGTTTGTAAAAATATTAAATGGAATATAATAATTTGGTGTCAGGATTCAATAAAACAAAGATATCATTGTTCCTGGATATCCTGAAATGTGTTACGGTTCCTTCATCCAATTTTTGGCTAAAATTTTCAGAGAAGAATATTTGTTTTTCTTGTGACGATATGTAATATGAACCCCAGCCTCAAAGCATTTAATGGTCAGTGTCGTGGAATGAAAGTTAATGAATGTAACTTAAGTCTATGTACAAATGTTAAACTCATCATGGTTGTTTGGAAAATGGGTGGCAAGAGCATGACAAACATGTGACAAGTGAGTGATGGATGTATGACATAGTAGAAGTGTAACAGTTGTATGTCAAATTATGACAAAGGCAGGGTTAATTCTCACAAGTACAAGTATGTGACAGTTGTTTGACAAGTGAGTAACAGTTGTTTGACAAGTGTGTGGCAATTATTTGACAAGTGTGTGACAGTTGTATGACAGTTGTTTGACAAGTTCATGACAGTTGTTTGAGAAGTGTGTGGCAATTGTTTGACAAGTGTGTGGCAGTTGTATGACAGTTGTTTGACAAGTATGTGACAGTTGTTTCACAAGTGTGTGACAAGTTCATGACAGTTGTATGACAGTTGTTTGACAAGTGTGTGACAGTTGTTTGACAAGGGTGTGATAATTGTTTGACAAGGGTGTGACAGTTGTAAGACAGTTGTTTGACAAGTGTGTGGCAATTGTTTGACAAATGTGTGACAGTTGTTTGACAAGTGTGTGACAGTTGTTTGACAAGTATGTGACAAGTTCATGACAGTTGTTTGACAAGTGTGTGACAAGTTCATGACAAGCATATGACATCGTGCACCACAATGCCTATTTAGTACTGCATTATGTTTACAAGCAGCTTCACTTTAATGTTAAACAATATCTGTGTTCATGAAGTGTCAACCATGGATTGTATTTTTATCAGTGAGACCTGACCTAGCTCGAGGCCATTAATCCTGACATTTGTATTTCAGGCTATTGTATAACCAGACCAATAACACCGGTCGTGTCTCTGGTAGGGTAACTCCTGTATAACCCTCTGTGTGCTGCACTCTAACTAACATTTATACTAACACATTGTGATTGACAAACATGGGATTCTGGGCACCAACTGTGCCTTTGAATCCCCACAGGGAGACAAACATGGGATTCTGATTCCACAGAGAGTGAGACTAATATGACCTTTCACTGTTGGATGTCAGGTCCAGACCTCGTCAGCTCTTTAGTGTGTGTATAGACAGTGACTAGATGTTGATGACAGTTGTATAGAAGTGTCCAAGTCAGTTAACACTGTTTTAATACCACACGATGTTCGGTAGAGATTACCATCTGTGTGTTGATAACAACATAACCCTGACTCTGTTACTCTAATTCCCCGGAACTTGTAATTAGTTCAGTATTTCCGGTAGCTACTCAGTGTTAAGAGGTTGGTAATAAATTTTCAATAAATTGTACACTTAAACATTATTTTACAATATATTCCTCATACAGCTGAAGACTAAAGCAAGGCTCTGTACTTTCAAATACACTGGACTTGAACTACAGTGGTATCAGCTGCGTGACCAGTAGGCACATTCTCAAAATGATGACCCTTTAGACACAATAACAAAATGATGACCCTTTAGACACATTCTCAAAATGATGACCCTTTAGGCACATTCTCAAAATGATGACCCTTTAGGCACATTCTCAAAAGGATGACCCTTTAGACACAAAAACAAAATGCTGACCCTTTAGGCACATTCTCAAAATGCTGACCCTTTAGACACAAAAACAAAATGCTGACCCTTTAGGCACATTCTCAAAATGCTGACCCTTTAGGCACATTCTCAAAATGATGACCCTTTAGACACAAAAACAAAATGGTGACCATTTAGACACAAAAACAAAATGGTGACCCTATAGACACAATAACAAAATGGTGACCCTACAGACACAATAACAAAATGGTGACCCTACAGACACAATAACAAAATGGTGACCCTACAGACACAATAACAAAATGGTGACCCTACAGACACAATAACAAAATGGTGACCCTGTGCCCACAAGATGACCCCGTGTACACATCAAAATGATGGCTCCGTGAGCGGCCACAGAATGTGTCATTTTTTCATGACTTTTTCCCAAAAAAATTCCAATGATGTCTACACCACACGTCAGTATGTTGTTATGATAATTGTGCACATTTCTTTTCTACATTTATACTGCCATAAAGATAATATTTAAGTCACATCTTATAAATAAATCAGTCAGCATTTATAACTTCACAACCTGCTCTCTACATCATTAATACAGAAAGCAGTAGACAACGCTATGAAACC